TCTGCCTTTAGATCAGGTCATGATCCCAGGGTCCTGGGATTGAGCCCCATATCGGGCTCCCTGCTCAGCGGGAAGCCTGTTTCTCCCTCTCCCGCTCCACCTGCTTGTGTTCCCTCCCTCGCTCTATCTCTCTCTGCCAAATAAATAAAATCTTTAAAAAAAAAAGATGAAGGATTATTTTAGGCATGTTTCATTTGGAAGAATCCATTTTATTGAATATAACTGTAGTTGGCATGAATCCCAGAAGCAATATAAAAATATGGATAAATTTCATTATGTAAATATTAAAAACATATATACCAAAAGACACTTATATACAGTCAAAAGACAAGTGCTGGGCTGGGGATGCTTGTCACATCTATGGAAATGCAAATGGGTATATACACAATTAGCACAAATCAGTAAGAAAAATATAGAAGGGATATTTTATATATTTGTACCATTTTATCTACATAATAACAGAATAACATGCCTTTGGTAAAATGAATGACATTTGTATATTAACACGGAGAGATTTCTATGGGTATACTGTTTTTAAAAAGCAGTTTGCAGAATAATGAATAGTGTGTATAGATCAGTACCATCTGTGGAAGAAATAAAATAATTACATGGAGTTTTACTATAGGTATAGAGAAAAATCTAGGAGTTGCAACACCAAAGTTTTGTGGGTTTTTGTTTTGTTTTGTTTTTAAGTAAGCTGTAGGCCCAACGTGGGGCTTGAACTCATGACCCCAAGATCAATAAGAGTTCCATGCTGGGATGCCTGGCTGGCTCAGTGGGTGGAGCGTGTGACTCTTGATCTTGGGGTTGTGAGCCCAAGAGGTTGTGAGTTGGAGCCCCATGTTGGGTATAGAGACTACTTAAAAAAAAAAAAATGTCACATGCTCCACCCACTGAGCCAGTCAGATGTCCCCAGTTTTACATTAAAGTGAGAGTGGGATTAATAAGGACTGTCACTTTCGAAGTTGACTTGTGTTTACAGTTTTATTATTTTTTTAAGATTTTTATTTATTTATTTGACAGACAGCAAGCACAAGCAGGAGGAGCGGCAGGCAGAGGGAAGAGGGAGAAGCAAGCTTCCCGCCGAGCAGGGAGCCCGATGCGAGACTTGATCCCAGGACCCTGGGATCATGACCTGCGCCGAAGGCAGATGCTTAACTGACTGAGCCATCCAGGCGTCCTGAGGCTGCGACTCTTGATCTCAGGGATGTGTGTTTGAGACCCATTTGGGTATAGAGATTACTTAAAAATAAAATATTTTTAAAAATTACACCTAGAGGCACCTGGATGGCTCAGTCGGTCCTGTGATCAAGCCCAAGTTGGGGCTTCTCCCTCTCCTCCCTGCTTGTGCCCTCTTTCACTGTCTCTCTCTCTCTCTCTCTCAAATAAATAATAAATAAAATCTTTTTTTTTAAATAATTTTTTATTGTTACGTTAATCACCATACATTACATCATTAGTTTTTGATGTAGTGTTCCATGATTCATTGTGCATAACACCCAGTGCTCCACGCAGAATGTGCCCTCTTTAATACCCATCACCAGGCTAACCCATCCCCCCACCCCCTCCCCTAAATAAAATCTTTTTTTAAAAAATTACATTTAGTTTCTTACTGTAAAGATTATATGCCACTTATTTCTGTATATTTTTCAGTTCTGTTTGCGCAGTGAGAGTAAGTTTTTCAGAGAAAGAAAAAACACTGGAAGCTTTACCACTTTGTTTCTTTACCTTCCAAGGGAATTACCTTTGGAATTACAGGGAATTTTTGATAAAGAGGAGGTGGATGTTAAAGTTGAAGACAAAAAAAATGAAGTATGTATGTCAACGAAGCCTGTGTTCCAGCCCTTCTCAGGACAGGGTCACAGACTAGGAAGGTGAGTAGGTTCATAATCTGTGCTTTCCACACACAGGCTTGACTATTATTCAGCATGTCTTTATTTTATGATACAAACCAGCTCTATAGACCTTATCATTTCTCTCATTGGAAATGAGATTTTTCATGTTAACTTTTATGAGGACTCCTAAGTCCTATTTACCTTAGTGTAAATTAACATATAATGCTGGCAGTACACTAAAAAGTCATAGAGGCTTTTTTGATTTTGCCAAATTATAGGACCTGGATTATTGAGGACCTTAGGCACAATTGATGGGTAAATAATTTTTCTCCTTTGCACCCACCACTTGAGCATTGCCATTAATGTTACAGAGTGCATATGCTAGCTTTTGAATATAGGGTTCCATTTTATAGTTACCAGAGCCTTCAACATTGTGTTCTGTAATAAGTATCTGAATTTTGCAGTAATAAAAATGAAAAATTCATGATAAAATTAGTACCCCTATCAAAGCCTTTAATTGTCAAATTTTGAATCTTCATCCTATTAAATACTACACTTTATGACAGTATACAAAGAGGTTAGATATGTGATCATTTTTATGAATTTCTCATAGATTATCAAGATTGATAAAATTATCTGCATATTCATCCACACATATAAAAATATTCAGATATGACTTTTTGCTTCCTTTTTTTCCCCCCTTTATAATCTAAGGACTAATTTCTATAGAGAACTTAAAATTTTTTTAAAGTTTTTATTTATTCATTTAAGTAATCTTGACACCCAGTATAGGGCTCAAACGAATGATCCTTGGATCAAGAGTCCCAGTCACAAGCTCTTCTGACTGAGCCAGTCAGACACACACCCCCCTTTGTTTTGATTTTTTGGTTTGTTTTTGTTTTTGAGAACTTACCATTTCTTATAGAAATTTTAACCTGGGGAGTAGTAGATAAAATTTATAGATCTTTAAATCCTATAAAATTGTCTGTTCCATAAGGCACTATTAAAATAATTACAATATATTTACATACCACTGTACAGTCTTACAAATTACGTGGATATGCATAATTTCATTAGGATCCTAGATTGATCATATGTGATGAACATAAGTAATAGTAGTATCTTTATGTTATTATTCAGGAAACAGCTGTGACTTGCTAAAATCTTCCTAAAAGGTATACTTAATGTAGAAGTTTTATAGTATTTGTTCAGTGATTAAGTTCTGCTTAACAACATGCATCTGACTTTGTTGTCTGCCTTTTCTTAGTGCCACACCAAAAATTGTTTCTAAGGCAAAGAGTACTGAAGTTGAGAATAAAAATAATTTGTCTGTTCAACTAAACAATCTGGAACCCATCACTAATGTACAGATCTGGTTAGCCAATGGAAAAAGGATTGTCCAGAAATTTAATATTTCTCATAGGTGAGTCTTCCATTTCATCATTTGTCTGAATTTTTTCATGTTTAAATTTCTTTTCAGTTCAGTCGGCAGTTTTTTTTTTTTTAAAGATTTTATTTATTTATTCGACAGATAGCACAAGCAGGCAGAGTGGCAGGCAGAGGGAGAGGGAGAAGCAGGCTCTCCGCCGAGCAGGGAGCCGGACACGGGGCTCGATCCCAGGACCCTGGGATCATGACCCGAGCCGAAGGCAGCCGCTCAACCGACTGAGCCACCCAGGTGCCCCTAGTAGGCAGTTTTTAAGAACTAGCGAAGGATCTTACCAGTTCTCTAAGCATAATATATCATGACAATAGAATTAATGAAGTACTTTCAGTTTGTTTTATGGATTATCATTTTTATCATTTGATTGGTTTTCCTATATAACTAAATATGTAATTTTTATTTCTTTTAAGATTTGTTTATTTCAGGGGGGGAAGGGCGGAGGGAGAGGAAGAGAGAGAATCTCAAGCAGACTCCCTCCTGAGTGTGGAGCCCAACACAAGGTTCTGTCTCATAGCCCTGAGATCTGACCTGAGCCGAAGTCAAGAGTTAAACACTTGGGGCACCTGGGTGGCTCAGTCAGTTAAGTGGCTGCCTTTGGCTCAGGTTATGATCTCGGGGTCCTGGGATCGAGCCCCACCTCGCTTCTCCCTCTCCCTCTGCCCCATCCCTGCTTGTGCTCTTTCTCTCTTTCTCCTCTTTCTCTCAAATAAATAAAATCTTTTTTTTTTTTAATTTTTATTTATTTGACAGAGACACAGCGAGAGAGGGAACACAAGCAGGGGGAGTGGAGGGGGAGAAGCAGGCTTCCCACTGAGCAGGGAGCCCGATGCGGGGCTCGATCCCAGCACCCAGGGACGATGACCTGAGCCAAAGGCAGGCGCTTAAGGACTGAGCCACCCAGGCGCCCCAAGAAGCATATACTTAAATGGTGCCTTAGAATGTTCTTCTGTGACCCAAATTCCTTTTAAATGGGAGGAAGTCAAACTAAACAGGTGGGAAATGGAAGAGGGGATTTGTTATTCCAATCTAAGGTTGTTTCTTTTTAGGGAAATAAAATATTTTATCTCAACTTCTTTATCTAGAAAAATACTTCCACCATTTTTAGTAACAGTCACCTAGATTTTTCTTTTCGTGAATGACTGAAGCATTTAAAAAACTTTGGCCAACAGTATTTATTAAGTGATTATTAATCAGGCTTTGTTTTCATTTTTTTAATTTTTAAATTAAAAAATTTTAGGATAAATCTATAATTTTATTACAAAACCATTATTTTGGCATTAGTCAGTTACAGTGAGCAAGATACTGTGAGTGTGGCATAGCCACTCTAAAGTAACAATTGGATTTCCTGCTTCCTGAACTAAAATTTAAGTTACATTATATCCATTACATACAAGTTACCTACACTCATTAATGCTGCAAATCCTGACCCATGTTCCCTTTAGGGAGGAGCTGATGCTAAGGGATTAGAGTAAATGTTAATATACAAAAGTTCCTTCATGGGACTCTCTGTTTCTTCTCCCCCCAGATTGCTTTTTGCTTTAAAATAATCAAATTGCTAGTCTGAATAGCAGCACCCAAGAAGCATCGCAAATGGTTCTTAAAAAGCAGTGTAATACATGTTTTATACCACAGGCAAAGGGAGTGATCACTTTAGTTTGAAACTCCTGTATTAGAGTCTCTTCAGAAATTAAGGGATTCTGTCAACTTCTTCCAGATGGTATTACTGCTGTACATTTGTTGGTGGGTCAGTTTCTATGCTGTGTTTGCTTTGAAGGGATCTTCAGTATATCTCCAATATTACTTTCTTAAAGTGTCCTCTAGGATTTCACACAACTCTAATGCTTTATTAAGAGTGTCCTCCTTGGGGTGGCCGGCTGGCTCAGTTGGTGGAGCGTGCGACTCTCGATCTCAGGGTTGTGAGTTCCGGCCCCACATTGGGTGTAGAGATTGCTTAAAAATAAAATCTTTTAAAAAGAGAGAATGCCCTCCTTGTTGTCACATTGGTTTTCTAGCATGTCTTTATAGATGTCCACGAGAAAGGCAATTAGGGGGACCTGTGACTTGGTTGTAAATCAAGTAACTGATTTAGTAGATTGGGCTATTTGGAAAGACCACAGTCCTGTAAAATCCCTTTCAAATAGCTGCATGCACTTTTATGATGTGGTATTAGTTTGATCATTTGCGGAGTGTACTGGACTTTTCTCTCCATTATAACCAGTAGTGTTAGAAATTATGAAGTATCTTTGGTTCCAGACAGTTATTTCTCAAATCCTCCCTTAGAAATTGGTCTACAATGAGGTGCCTGGGTGGCTCAGTCGTTAGGCGTCTGCCTTCGGCTCAGGTCATGATCCCAGGGTCCTGGGATCGAGCCCCACATCGGGCTCCCCGCTCGGCAGGGAGCCTGCTTCTCCCTCTCCCTCTTCCTGCTGCTCCCCCTACTTGTGCTTGCTCTCTCTGTCAAATAAATAAAATCTTTAAAAAAAAAAATTGGTGTACATATTGCAGCTCATTATCCCAAAGTTTAAATTCCTGAATAACCCATTGTTGATATTGCCAGCTATACTTCTTTGCATCCTGATTAAGAGTATCAGCAATAAATTCAGGGTCCTCAGATGGAAACTTCATAGTTTTTGGGCTGTTCCTCACATATTGTAGTGATGTAGTTCATTTCCTCATGTCAGTCATTTTGAGGTGACTTTAAGAGAACTTTCTGAAAGTGCCACATTGTATAATTGGCTGCATTTAACTCAGTAGCATCTCTGGTTAGTTTAAAAGCTCATTCACTTCAGGTGCGTCCGCATGGCTCAGTTGGTTAACGTCCAAATCTTTTTTTTTTTTTAAGAATTTATTTATTTATTTGACAGAGAGAGACACAACGAGAGAGGGAACACAAGCAGGGGGAGTGGGAAAGGAGAAGCAGGCTTCCTGCTGAGCAGGGAGTCCGATGCGGGGCTCGATCCCAGGACCCTGGGATCATGACCTGAGCCGAAGGCAGATGCTTAACGACTGAGGCGCCCTAAGCGTCCAAATCTTGATTTTGACTCAGGTCATGATCTTGGGCAGTGGGGTCGAGTCCCGCATAGGGCTCTGTGCTCAGTGAGGAGGAGTCAGCTGGAGATTCTGTCTCTTCCTCTCCCTCTGCCCTTTCCCTGCCCTGCTCTTGTCCCCATGCACTCCCTCGCTCACTCACTCTCTCTAGTGAATAAATAAATCTTAAAAAAAAAAAAAATCAAACCCATTCACTTCTTTCATCACACTGCAGAATGGCCCAGAAATAATCAAATCTAAATTTTCCACCGTAAATGATCTGGACCACTGGATTGAGGCCATCATTCTGCTCTGTCCCTATGCAAGATAGGTGGGCGAGTCCAGGCTCAGGAACCCGCCATCCATAGGGGTGCCCCTGCTTCTCTGGGCTCAGCTGCCTTAACTTCTTTGTGCTGCTGCTGACTCTGGGGCTCTGGCTAACCCGATTTGCTGCCCTGTGCGATGGTCACCGTCTCGCCTCATTCCACAGCAGAGGTGGCCCAGGCTTTGTTTTTGTTTTGTTTTGTTTTTAAGTTATTTTTTTTAGTAATCTCTACACCCAACGCAGGGCTCAAACTCAGTCGCATGCTCTTCTGACATACAGTTAACCAGGCACCACCTTCCATGCTCTGTCTTTAAATTGGAATGTTTAGTCCAGTTTTTACATTGTTATATAATATGCTGAACTAGTTGGGTTTAAGGCTGCCATCTTGCTGTTTGTTTTCTCTTTACCCCATGTCTTTTTATTTTTTTGTTTTTTTTAAGGTTTTATTTATTTGACAGAGCACGCTCGCACACACAACATGCAGGGGGCGCGGCAGGCAGAGGGAGAGGGAGAAGCAGACTCCCCGCTGAGCAGGGAGCCCAATGTGGGGCTCGATCCCAGGACCCCGGGATCATAACCTGAGCCGAAGGCAGATGCATAACGACTGAGCCACCCAGGCCCCCTATTCTTTTTTTTTTAAGGTTCATTTTATTTTTGAGAGAGTGAGCACAAGTGGGAGGGGGAAAGAGAATCCGAAGCCGACTCCATCCTGATCACGGAGCCCCACACAGGGCTGAAGCTCATGACTCTGAGATCATGACCCTAGCCCAAACCAAGAGTCAGGTCCCCAAATGACTGCACCACCCAGGCGCCCCTATTCTTTTTTTTTTTTAGATTTGTTTATTTATCTGGGGTTGGGGGAAGGGGCAGAGGGGGAGACAGTTCTAAGCAGACTCCACTCTGATCATCAGGCCCCGTTCGGGAAACCGAGAGTGGGACACTTAACTGACTGCACCACCCAGGCGCCCCTTTTTATTCTTTATTCATCCTTTCTTGCTTCCTTTTGAGCTTAATGTGTACTTATTATTTTTATCCTCTTACAGCTTTTTAGATTTGCATTTTTTATTCTCTTAATGGCAACATAGAGATCACAGTATACGTTTAAAAATTTTTAATACAGGGGTGCCTGGGTGGCTCGGTCATTAAGCATCTGCCTTCGGCTCAGGTCACGATCCCAGGGTCCTGGGATCGATCCCCGCATCGGGCTCCCTGCTCAGCGGGAAGCCTGCTTCTCCCTCTCCCACTCCCCCTGCTTGTGTTCCCTCTCTCGCTGTGTCTCTCTCTGTCAAATAAAATCTTTAAAAAAAATTTTTTTTTTTTTTTTTTACTACAGGGGCGCCTGGGTGGCTCAGTCTTCAGGCGTCTGCCTTTGGCTCAGGTCATGATCCCAGGATTCTGGGATCAAGCCCTCCAACCGGCTCCCTGCTCGGCAGGAAGCCTGCTTCTCCCTCTCCCTCTCCTGCTTGTGTCCCCTCTCTCGCTGTCTCTCTCTCCCTCTCTGTCAAATGGATACGTGAAATCTTTAAAAAAAAAAAAAAAAATTTTTTTTTTTTACTGCATGGTTCCTTTAATCTTTACTGTTTTCTTTTTATATTTATATCATTTGCCATTAGCTTTAGCCTTTCATTATCCCAACTTTTGGTATCCAAATAATACATGAGACTGTGTCCTAGACTTTTTTGGCAACTCACACAGGTTTAATAGAGTGGCAATTAATGAATTTTAGTGAATTGATTGGGAGAATTCTGCTTTTCGTGATATGGCATATTTCATTAATTCTGAGTTAAACATTTTTCACATTTTAGCCTCTCTGAAATGGGGGTTTATCCTAAAATCCATGGTTGGCTACATGGCAATCATTACATAATTATCTTTGTCTTGGCATCTACCTCAAAGCATGCAGAACAAGTGTCAGCTGAACAAAAAAAATCTCAGAGACAGTATCTTTTTTAAAGAAATTCTTTATTACCAACACACCTGTTAATACAGAGGGCTGGTATTATATTGAAAAATATGTACCAGGGGCACCTGGGTGGCTCAGTCGGTTAAACATCTGCCTTCGGCTCAGGTTATAATCTCAGCATCCTGGGATCGAGCCCTGCATCGGGCTCCCAGCACAGTGAGAAACCTGCTTCTCCCTCTCCCCCTGCTCATGCTCACTCTCTCTGTCTCTCTCTCTTAAATAAATAAAATTTTAAAAAAAGAAAGAAAAGAAAAATACCAAATTATGACCGAATCAAAAGTGATTCAAAGGATCTGAGTCTGAACAATGTTCAAGTATTAGGAATGGCTTAACAATTTTATTGTAATAGAAGCACATACTTAATTTGAGAAATGTTTACATGAAATTAAGTTAATTGTGCTTCCAATAAATATAAAAATTCTAAGTGTTAAGAAAATATTTTGTCATAATCTGGATTTTTTTTTAGCAACACATAAAATGATGTGTCTTAAAAATCAATGGCATCTTGGGCGCCTGACTCAGTTGGTTAAGCGACTGCCTTCGGCTCAGGTCATGATCCCAGAGTCCTTGGATCGAGTCCCATATCGGGCTCCCTGCTCGGCAGGGAGTCTGCTTCTCCCTCTCACCCTATCCCCTCTTGTGCTCTGTCTCTCTCTCTCTCTCTCTCTGTCTCAAAATAAAATCTTAAAAAAAAAAAAAAACAAATCAATGGCATCTTAGTTGTAATGAACTCTGCATGCGTTCTCTCTACATACATACACATATATTTAGGTGAACATAACTTTGAGCTGTCTCCAAAATTGCACATTGTAATGTTGATTTTACTAACTGAAATTCTACCTACACTGAGTTAAGAATTTTCCTAATTGTGTTTGAAACACAGCATGACCTGGTATTTAAGAGATACAGCCTGTGTGTGTGTAATATTACTAGTGGGACCGTATTTGATCCATTCAGTCAGATATAGACATACAAAATTTCTGTTATAGGAACTTCCAGATATACACACACACACTTCAAACAAAAGAGAAGATACAGTGATCCCGCCCTCAGTTCCACTGAACTGTATCCAAGGAAATCTTAGACTTCGTATGGTTTCCTATGTAAATATTTCAATATAACTGTAAAAGAGATGTACTCTATAAAAATGTAACCATAACATTATATAAGACTGATGAATCACTGAGCTCTACCTCTGAAACTAATAATGTATATTAATTAAATTTAAAACAAAAAATAAAATGTAACCATAATACCCTTGTCACACTGAAGATAATTAATAGTAATTCCTTACTACCCAGGGTCAACCTTTAAAAAGCCCAAATGGTCAGTTCTGTCATCATAATTTGACTATTCTATGTATTAACATAGCTAGATAGGTTATCTTCAAGTTACTATCTTAAGTTTTCATAAAATTATATTAATAGTTTGTGCTATTTTACAGGATAAGCCACATCAAAGACTTCATCGAAAAATACCAAGGATCTCAAAGAAGTCCTCCCTTTTCCCTGGCCACAGCTCTTCCTTTCCTCAAATTGCTAGATGAAACACTCACATTGGAAGAAGCAGATTTACAGAATGCTGTAGTCATTCAGAGACTCCAAAAAACCACTGAACCTTTTAGAGAACTTTCATAACATTGATTTTTGATACACTAAGTGGAAAGTTTGAAGAGAAATGATGGTTGTAAATGAACATGCAAACCAAAATGAGGGAAAGGAAGTCAGATTCGCTGGACTTTTAGTTCGGGCATGATTTAACTCCCTCCTGATGAGAAGATTTTTAAATAAGTACAAGTTAGGAAAGTGAACTATGACTGGAAACTATATTCAATGCACTTTTTCCAAAAGACTACTCAGAAAGAAAACTATACTTATTTTCAAATACCAGTTATTCAGCAATAAGATATATTAAATCGCTGTATCATATAGAATCTTAATGTGGTATAAATTAGCAAATGTATTCACAGCATCATTCATTCAAATATTCCCAACCAGCAGTGGTTTGTTTAGATGTTAGCTGTCTCAGATTTTTTAAATAGCAATATATTAAGAAAATTATACATGACAGGTTAAAAAACATCAATGTAATTATTTTACATCTGAGATACAGTCAGAAGGCTAGAGGGAACTTCTTTGACCACAGCTATGCCTGAACCTCCAAGTGTTCTCCATTTTTATTTTCTAATGGCAAGATATACTCATATTATTTTGGCACAGTATCTAAAATGTATTTTAAGGATAAAATTGTGCAGCTTAGTACAATGTCAATATTAATCTGCCTATTCACATTTTGACATTTCAAGAAGTGTAATTTTTAAAAATTTCTTTTCTGTCCAGGAACCCGAGTTCATCCCTTATTTTTTCTTCTGAAAATTAAGGATTTGTTTTTAGCTATCATTTTTGAGTAAGCCTTTCATTTGCTACCATTCACTTAGAATCTAATGCTTGTGTTGGCACATTGCTATTTAATATTTTTTAAATGCATCACATGAAGTATGGTTTTCTTTTCCATATATCAGAGTCAACCTGGGTATACATTAAAGGATTATTTGTTACATTCTGATGCCACCAAGGAAATCATGTTTTGTATCTTAATCTTTTAATTTGAACTGGTTAGACTTCTGTATTTCACCGTCAGATTGAATTCCCTTGCCTGAAGATAAGAAGCTTTTTTTTTTTGCAAATTATTTATTGAATCTTATTTAAAGCAAAATTTACATTGAATGTGCCAAGGAACTAAGTAGCCATACCTATCAGCAGTAATGTTCACAGGGCACTGGGTGTCTGCTGGAAAGAGCAGTTCTCAAACTTCTGGTCTCAAGAACTTTTGTTTATGTGGATAATATATATGATACTGAAAATAAAAAATTATAAAATATTCATTAAAAATAATAAGCACCTGTTAGTATAAACCACATTTTAATGAAAAGCATTTTCTAAAAAATTTACTGAGAAAAGTGGCATTGTATTCCATTTTTTGCAACTATCTTTACTGTCTGACTTAAAGAAGACAGATGGAATCTCATATCTGCTTCCACATTCAATCTGTTGTGATATTGCACATCATGTAGCCTCTAGTAAATGCTGCTGTATATTCATGAGAAAATGGTGGGGGAGCAAATAGTGTCTTAGTTTGGTTATGAAAATAGTTTGACTTTACGGACCTCTTGAAGGAACCATTCTTACGAAGCAGTTTACAATGATTCTCAAATCTTAGTGTTAGAATCACTTGGGAAACATTTCAAAATGTCTATTCCAGGCATCTACCATACACATTCTGATTCACTGTATCTGGGATGGGTCCCAGATCTCTGCATTTGTAGTCTCAAGTGATAAGGTATGTAGTAGAAGAACCAGTGTTCAGGGAACCCTGCATTATGCTTCCACCCTAAGAAAATAAACCTGCGTGCTTCACCACAGTGGAAGAAGACTCTCCACTGAAATGGGACTTCTAGACCTTTAAGTTTTATCCTTTAACTCCCACAGTTGGTTCTTAGACTGTTCCCCTTAACTTTTTTTTTTTTTAAAGATTTTATTTATTTAATTGACAGACAGGGAACACAAGCAGGGGGAATGGGAGAGGGAGAAGCAGACTCCCTGCCGAGCAGGGAGCCCGATGCGGGGCTCCATCCCAGGACCCCGGGATCATGACCTGAGCTGAAGGCAGTCGCTTAACCAACTGAGCCACCCAGGCGCCCCTCCCCTTAACTCTTAATTAATCATAATATAAACCTATACTTCCTCTCCTCTAAGCACAGCTGAGAGGAGGCTGGAACATTTAAATGAGATTTTCATTAGAAGCTCAGGAATAACAAAAGGGAAATGCACATAACTAGATGACCTGGTTTATAAGCTGCATCTTCTGTTTGAGGTCCATATTAAGACTGCTTCCTTTTCTAGCTCCCAGCCTTCCACATGGTAGAAGCCTTTTTATCAGGAAGAGAGGCAGGGCAAAAGAGAGCCTTTTCCTTTTGTCATTTGCTTTGAAAAATGAACAGATACATAATAGAAAATACTGTCATTATGTTTACAGCTGTGTAGTAGAGCCCTCTCTGTGAGACATAATGGCATTCTTAAAATGAGGGGGTGGTAAAAATCATTGAGCACTTTCAGATATAAAAAGATGATTGTTAATATATTTTTCAAGAGTGTGTAAGAAAATGTTTCCTAAAGGCCTATCATGAAGCATTGTATAATTTAATTTGCATAATTATAGTCTGTGATTCTAAATATATTTCTATAAAGGGGCTTCTCATTGGAAATACTTTTCTTGTACCTATAAAAAGGCCTCCTTTGTGGATTTTCCAGTTTATAATTATCCAGAAGGTACATTGGAGGTTTTCTTGTGTGTACATGTAGAATACACCCCAATGAGAAATTCCTATGGAGAAAGACCCATTGTCAGCAATAACTTTCATTTTTTGTAACTGTGAATACCTTCATTAATGTGAATAATATTCTCAGAGGTTTTCAAAATGAGAATCATCTGATAAAACTTTCTACTTTAAAAGTTCAAAATTGTAAAGTTGTTAATTAAAGGTGTAGATTATGTAAAACATACTGACTTTAGAAAATGTAAATTGAATTTGGCAAGGCAAGGGAAGGCAAACTTGAAAATAATCAAACATTTTAGGTGTAGATTACAATACAACTCCTATGTAGTTTCAAAACCCGTCAGTTTCTTGAAAAATCATTGTTAAGGCTGATACAAGAAGTACATTTCTAGTTTTACAGATTCTAATTTAATGGTTAAATTACTATGCATTATGCAGGCTGTAAAACTGGTCTTATTTTATATACTTTTCCCATTCAGAACATTTTTCATTACGTTTCATTGTGTTGAAAATACGGTATTATGCATCTGTTTCAGTGCCTTATTTTTAAAGCAAGCTTTTGCTAACGGTTAAAGAACTGTTGTCTTAAGAATGAAATAATTCATTAAAAGGATCTGTGAAATAATCCACAGTTGTTTCTTATACAATAGTTACATCTGGGTTCATTTGTTATTTTTATTTGGCATTGGCAAAGTCATTCAGTTTGAGAATCAGCATTTATATAGGTGCCTTCTGTTTGCCAGGTACTTTAATCAGTGTTACTTTATTTAATCCTCAGAAATGTTAAAATGTGATATTTTTAATACATTTATCCATCAGGTGATGGACATTTGGGTTTCACTTTGGGTTATAAATAGTGTTGCTATGAACATTTGTGTTCAAGTTTTTGTGTGAACATGTTCAGAGGTAGGTTTTTTTAAAAACCATTTATGTCCTGAGTTGAACTAGCATGAAGACTCCTTGGTAGGGTTTACTTCTTTGTTCTTTTTCTAAGTACAAACCATTTAATTAAGAAATTGCTCATCACACTAAATCTTCAGATACAAGTGGCTTATTCAATAGACTAATATTTGGCTCTTTGTCATTTGCTTTAAATATTTTTTTCACAGATGATTCATATTCATTGTAGAAAATTGTAAAATGCTGGAATGATCTTGAAATCACCAATTTCACCTTTCAAATAATATAACCACTAATAACATTTTGGTGTACATCCTTTCAGGTATTTTTAAGTGAATCAGTGTTTTATATTAATTAAAAGGCAGGCTTCTTGGTTATTGTAATGCTATTTTATCTATTGACGTCTAACGTATTTGTCTTTAAAAATTACATTCAGAACATGGCATCATTTTAACTAGAATAATAGCTGTTAGCAACAAATGCCTTTTTTTTTTTTTTAGATTTTATTTATTTATTTGAGAGAGAGAGAATGAGAGAAGAGAGCATGAGAGGGAAGAGGGTCAGAGGGAGAAGCAGACTCCCTGCTGAGCAGGAAGCCCGATGCGGGACTCGATCCCGGGACTCCAGGATCATGACCTGAGCCGAAGGCAGTCGCTTAACCAACTGAGCCACCCAGGCGCCCCGCAACAAATGCCTTTTAATTACATTTTTGTGCAGGGGCAAAAAAAAATGCAGTTTTCTTTTTTTACTTTTTAAAATTTTTAAATTGTAGTATATGCAACAAAGTACAAATATTGGGAATGAAGTGCTTCCAGACCTAAGAATGCTATAAAATTATGTATGTAAAAGTAGATTATCCAAAGAAACTTCAGCTTGAGTTTATTTAAGTTTCCAAGGACTTAAATATTTAGCACATGCATTATCTAATTATCCATCCACTGTTGATAAGGCTGCAATCAAGAAAACAGGAGGTACCCATTTTGTAGGTTAAAGAATTGAGGCATATTTGCAGTATATACAAATACTGAATCATTACTTTGTACACCTGAAACTAGTATACTGTTATATGTCAATTATACCTCTATTTAGAAAAAATAATTGAGGCATAGAAAATGATTTAGACTGGGTAGCATACACTTTAGGATTATATTTAGCTGTGACAGAAAAGTCTAAACTAATAGTGACTTACAAAACAAAATTTTTATTTCCATGCAAAAGTCCAGAGGGAGGCAATTCAGAACTGGTAGATCAACTTCATAAAACTTCAGACTCATGTGTTGTTCATCTGCCAATACCAGCACTTAACCCAAGGCCACAAGAGAGCTGCTCTAGCACTAGTCGCATCTGCATTCCATCCAGTGGGAAGAAGCACACACCTTTCCTTTTAAAAAACAGAAAAACGGCTTTATTGGGATATAATTCACACACCTTACCATTTACCGAATTAAAGTGTACAATTTGGTGGCTTTCAGTGTAGACAGGATTGTGCAACCACCATCATAATCTAACTTTAGAATATTTTCATCCTGTGTTTAGCCCTGTACTCATTCTCTACCCAAAGTCCTAGGCAACCGCAAATCTAAAATCTGTCTGCAGATTTACCTATACTGGACATTGCATATAAATGGAATCATACAATATATGGTTTTTGCATCTTTTCATTTAAGGTTTCCAAAGTTCATCCATGTTCTTTTTATTTTGGAATACTAGTCCATTGTATGGATATACATTTATCCATCAGTTGATGGACATTTGGGTTTCACTTTGGGTTATAAATAGTGTTGCTACGAACATTTGTGTTCAAGTTTTTGTGTGAACATGTTTTTTTCTAGGGTATATACTTAGGAAGAATTGCTGGGTCATAAGGTGATTCCAGGTTTAACTTTCTGAAGAGCCAGAGTTCCATAGTGCCTCCACCGGTTAACATGTCCACTAGCAAGGTGTGATTTCTCCACACCCTCCCCAGTGCTTGTTCCTGTCAGCCATTTTAATCCTAGGCATCCAGTGGTGTGGTATTTTGTAATTTTGTATTTCCTTAATGACATAAGCATCTTTTCGTGTGCTCATTGTCTGTCTTTGGAGAAATACCTATAGAAATCCTTTGCCCATTTTTAAATTGGGTTGTCTTTTATTGTTGAGTTGTAAGAGTTCTTTATATATTCCAGTACCAGTCTTTAAGATTTGCAGATACTTCTCCCATTTGGTGGGTCTTTTCACTTGGATGGTTTGCAACACAAAATTGTTCATTTAGATAGTCCAACTTATGTCCTAAGAAACAGTTGTCTAACCCAAGGTTATGAAGATTTGCTCCTGTTTTCTTTTTTAAAGATTTTTTTTTTTTTAATTTATTTGACAGACACAGAGAGGGAACACAAGCAGGGGGAGGGGTAGAGGGAGAAACAGACTCCCCGCTGAGCAGAGGGCCCTAGGATCTCAGGACCCTAGGATCATGACCTGAACCCAAGGCAGATGCTTGACGACTGAGCCACCCAGGCGCCCCTTCGAGGTGTTTTATAGTAGGTGTTTTATAGTTTTAGCCTTTACCCTTAGGTCTTTGGTGCATTTTCGGTTACTTTTTGTGTGCCATGTGACCCCTTCCCTTTGAAGGACTTTTCTGGCAAACTGCATGTATGCTGCTCTGCTTTCATTCACAGGCTGAACTGAGTTACGTGGCTACACCCATCTCATCTGCGAGAGGCTGGGCAATGTGTGTTTCAGGCACCTTGTATCAAATGTAGACCTGTTCAGCCATAGTCTAAGCAAGTCAATTCTATTGCTTCGTTTTTCAAATACATGGATCTGGTGGGTTTTCACCTGCGAGGATTTAGCAGGGTGTTCAGCGCGAACCGGCGCCGGCTCTCCCTCCCTCGGGGACCTGCCCCCAGGACAGCAGTCCCGAGGGACTTACCGGCCGTTACCCCCCCCCCACCCCCCGGCGAGTTCGGGCTCTTGGGGGAAATGGAACAGCGCCCTTCGAGCCTCCCCGCCGTCCCCCGCGTTGCCCGCGGCCCGCCCCTCGCCGCGCCGCGCCCACTCGGCCCCCGGAGCCGCCCTCCCCGCGAAAGCCGGGGCGCTGGCCGGGCGATAACGCCGCAGGGCCGCGGCCGCGGACGGAGCTGCAGTACGCCATGGCCGCGTCCCTCGGAGCGCCCCGGGACCCTGTTGACGAGGCGCCGCCGCCCCAGCCGGAAGCGCGCACCTCGGAGCGCAGCTCGGTGAGCTCAGGGCGAGGGCGAGGGGGGAGCCGGGGCTGCGCGAGGGAGGCGGCGGGAAGGGGCGCTGGCCCCAGCCTTCAGGCTTCCGAGCCCCCCTAGTGGACTTGGACAGTTGAGAGCCGAGAGGCCGAGATACTCGGGAGACCGACAGAGAACAGGTTGGGAAACTGAGTCCTAGACAAGTGAAGTAACTTGTTGCATTGGTTCAGCGAGGCTGCCAGGACCAGCGCCAGTCTCTGGGTTCTTGATTCCCAAATTAGAGCTCTTGCCCGCTACAGTCCAGATCTTCCCAGAGCTCTCGGGCACCCTGGGCAGGTAGGACTTCCCGGTGTGTGTGTCCGGTGGCGGGGGGGGGGGGCTGCCTCCCCTCCCCAGTCTCCTGGCACGTGGTGTGGGCTCAGCCAGCCCCGCACAGCCTGGCCCCGGGCTTCTCCTGCAGACTGCCCCCAGAGATGACTTCCTGGCAAAGAGGCCCCCCAGTGAGGGTGGAGGGCAGGTGGGAAGCCAGGGGTGTCCTCAGGCCTTCCTTATCCCCTGCGTGGATGGGGCCGGCGCAAGCCGGCCAGGGTGGCTGTATGCGAGAGGGGATAGGACCGCTGAGCTTTGTGCTGAACAAAGACCCATCGCTTGCTCCCTGCTCAACGCATCCATTGTCTGTGGCTTCACTTCAGCACCTGGATTCCCTTTGTCGACTCAGTGCTTCCTGTCAGACACCTCAGAGCAAAGGCTTGTGGCCCCCAAGAAAGAAAGTGAGATAGGGAGGTCCCCTGGGGACTCTCATTTCCCAGGGAAATTTAGAAATTCAGGGGGAGATGAATGGCAAGAGGGAAAACTGACGTTGCGAAAGAAGTGCCAGCATTTATTCTCATAACGACCTCTGCGGTATATTTTCCACCCCGCTTTACATGAGAGGAACCGAAGCTCAGGCCCGGTGAGGTACCTTGCCCTGCATCACACGGCTAGAAGTGGCAGACAGAATTTGAATCCAAGTTAGTCCAACGCTAAAACTTGTGCTTGGTTAAATGTGAAAGGCTTATGATTTAAGTAGGTGAAACTGTCATCCTCAAGGCTCTGAGAGTAGTTCCAGCCGGAATTTCTCAATCTTTCAAGTGACTTCTTTGTGCCAGAAGCTTGCTAGGCGCATTTAGGGGGAAACAAGAGGCACATGGGGTGGGGTGGCGCTATCATGTTGGATTCTGCCTCTTATTAACAATTTCTGGAAATTGAAATAATGTTCACACAAACGTCAGAAAAGGAGATGACATCCTGCCTCGTGTGTGGTTTTCTTCTGCGGGCTAGGAAGAGTGTGCAAAGGATATGATAAACCCTTATCTGGCAAGAACTTCCCTTTAGAAGGGCCCATCTGGGGTGTCCTGCAAGATACTAAAATGGGTGAAGTCATAGTCCTCTTCACTCCCCCTCTCGTCCCCAAGCAAAGGATCAAAAGGAAGGATTCCCAGCATCTTTTGAAGAAACAGCCTTTTACCTAGTGTCTTCATGACATTTATTTCTTCAACAAATACATATTGAGCATCTACTGTATACCACACATGGTTCTAGGTACTGGGGACATGGTGGTGAAAAAAAATTATATAGCACATGCTCTCAGAGAGTTTACATTCTCGTGGGAAGAGGCAGGAAATAAATGAGAATGTATCAGGTATTAGGTACACTAGAGAGAGAGTCAGGTAGTCAGGGAAGGCCTCTGTGAGGAGATGACATTCAGGCTTGAATGGCAAGGCGTCAGCTCTGCAAAGACTCAGAGGAAGAGCCTTCTAGACAGAAGGAACAGGAAGTACAAAGGCCCTGAGGCAGCAACGGGCATGGTCATTTTGAGGCATAGCAAGGAAGCTACCAAGGTTGAGGAGAGCAATCCGAAGTGAGGTGGGAAGGAGGTGGGGGTTGATAGGGTGGGCCCCTGTAGGCCATATGGGAAGGCCTTGGAATCGTATTCAAACTGCAGTGGCAAGCTGTTGGAGAGTTTTAAGCAGAGACGAGACATGATCAAATTTATGTTATGAAAAGATCACCTTGGCTGCTGGATAGAGAGTGGACAGTGGGGAATGAGAGCAGAAGCTGGGAAGCCACTTAGGGGACTACTGATAGATTTGGTGGGGAAATTGGGAAAGAGAAATCAAGGACTCCTAGGTTTATGGCCCAAGCTGCTGAGTGGACATTGGACATTGGAGCCATTTAATGCACTAGGGACAATAGGGTTAGGAGTTGGTTTAGGCAGTGGATGGAAATCAGGAGCTGTGTTTTGACCATGCTAAGCTGAAATGCCTGTTAGGCAACCATGTGGGTCTGTGAGTAGGCAGTCGAATATTCCAGTCTGGAGTTCGCTGGATAACTTAGGGCTTATGAGATATATATCTATCTCCATGCACACACACACATGCACGCGTGTGCACGCGCACACACACACACACACACATTTGGAGTCATGAACATTACTTTATTTCAGTGGTGGGCTAGTAAACAGTCTCTCCAGAAAAATAAAGAAAGCAATTCTGATTTATAGTGTTTGCTGATTCCTGTGGTATAAATTCACCACAGCTGATTTCAGGCTGCCAATGGTTCGAGGACTGGCCGAAGTCCTGAACAGTTAACAGTCAGCTCCTGGACCAAATAACATTCAGCTTCATTTGCTCATCAAGACAACTCTTGAAGTTGGCAGGAATATTCTGTTTGACACAGGAGGCTTCGAGAAATACAGTGCTTTATTCAGTTCACTCTGACTTGCTGACTCAGAGAACAAAACAAACTGAGGGGGAAGCACTAAGAGGGAAATAGGGAGAACTTGTCCCGTGGGATGTGGGATCTTTGAGAGGTCATGGCTTAGGATTAATTTTTCCCTCTTTGTCTCACTTCCCTTTAAGATGATTTAGGACAAATGAGGACTGAGAGGTTACTGGAAAAGCCCTCAAGGGACCTCAGGATGCTTACGGAGGCTCAGGAGGATGTGGGGAACTGTTGTGTATCGGCGCAGGTGGGGGGCTTAGCTCCTGTGTCTCCCCTCAGGACAGCAGAGCCGGTCAGCTCTCATTCTGTACCAAGGTGTGCTATGGCATTGGTGGGATCCCCAACCAGGTGGCCTCCAGCGCCACAGCCTTTTACCTGCAACTCTTCCTGCTTGATGTGGCCCAGGTGAGTGTGGGGAGCAGCCCAGGGCCCCCTGTTCCCATGTTCCTTGGTACCCAGTTCTCCCTCCCCAACCTGTACTTCACTGGATAGATGGCACTTCTGTCCCCAAACTGACAGTAAGCCAAATGCCTTTGAGGGCAACCCCCTTAAGGATGTTTATTGCAGGCTGTTTATGGTGAAAAATGGGGAAACAATATGAATGCCCAACAGTATAGAAGTAGTTGGATAATAAGTTGTGTAATATCCACATAATGGACGATTGTGTAGTCATTCAAAAGAACGAGCTAGGTCTATACCAGTTGACTCGGAGGGATTTCCATGATGCACTGTCAAGTGAGAGAAGTTGCTTTTAGAGACGAGTATACAAATTGATCCCATTTTACCGAAATAAAGACATGCCCCATATATGTAGGTACATGCGTAATGTGTAAATATGGGATTCTACATAATTAAAATACAAGCATGAAGAAAATACAGAAGGATATTCACAGGCTGTTACTGTTGCCTATGGCAGGGGATGGTGGAGAAGAGAGGGTAAGCAGAAAAAGATTTCTCGTATAGTACCCATGATTTTGTTAAATGACACTGATATGATCTCATTTATGTAAAATTATAAATTACGAATGCACATAAATAAATGCCTGAAAGGGTGATCACCAAAATGCTCTGGCAGTTGTCTCAGGATGAGGGGATTTCAGATGAGCTTTGCTCAATATTCTTCTGTACTGTTTGAATGTTTTTGTGAGTGTGTCATTTATGTAATCAGAAAAATGAATAAAACATTGTCATTGTGAAACGAAAAGTCTACCTCTGTCCCCCTTCTTGCACAGATGAGGGTCCCCGAGCCTTCTCCAAAAGCGACTGGGCAGGAATGGTAATGGGAACATGCCAGCCTGTGGCTGTCAGCCCCTCCCTGCCCCTCTCTTCCCTAGCTCAGGTGTGCCCCAGAGCCTTCTGGATTTGTGTCCTAGGAAAGAGACCCCACAGACCTTTACACGGCGGCTCTGCCCCCTGCCAGGTTCCCAGCGCTTTCTCCTGGCAGGTGGGCAGGCCCAGACACCCTCTCTGACTCCACCAGGCCTCAGCCATCCTCCACCTGTGCTTTTCAGGTCTCTGCTGCCCAGGTGTCACTTGTCCTGTTTGGAGGGAAGGTGTCTGGGGCAGCTGCCGACCCTGTGGCTGGGTACTTCATCAGCAGAAGCAGGAGGACAGGGGCTGGACACCTCATGCCCTGGTGAGCAGCCCCACGGTCCTCAGGGTCCTGGCTTCCAACCCTGGCCTGAGGCCACTGTGTTTGTCACAGTCCTGCTTCCTAGTGGAAACCCCTGTGGACCGTGAGGGGACAAGACGGTCACAGGTGATGTCGCGGGACTAGGTCAGGCTGAGCCATGCAGGAGTTCAGAGACATTCTTGGGGGCTCTCCGTCACCGGGAGGCACGGGGCTGCACAAAGCCTCCTAGGCTCTCAGGCCTAGATCCAGGGGTCTGTGTGTGGCCAGGGTGGGCTGGGGGTCTTGGAAGTCCTCACAAAGGAAATAGGACTCGCTGATGCTCCAGGGTCCTGGATACAGGGAATGGCAACGCCAATCCCCAGGTGCCCCCGAGCTCTGCAGTGAATGGCCCCACACCCCAGGCTACCGGCGGCATCCATCAGCCACCCCTCCCTCTCCTCCTCCGTGGTGAGCACCCTGGCAGCCCCAGCCCAGGGCTCCTGCTGGGGGCAGAGGACTGAGGCCCAGAAGGGTGTGGTTGCTTCAGGTTCGCCCTTCGTGTCCCCCGTCCTGGTCCTCCACGCCCGCTCTGGTTCCACAGGGTGCTGGGCTGCACGCCCTTCATCACCGTGGCCTACTTCCTCCTGTGGTTCCTGCCCCCCTTCACCAGCCTGCGGGGCCTCTGGTACACGAGCTTCTACTGCCTGTTCCAGGCCCTGGCCACGGTAAGCCGGTGCTCCCACCCCCGGGCCGGGGCTTGGACTCCTGGAACCCCATTGCCGGCCAGTGGCCACTGTAAAGTGTGTGCGGAGGGGAGAGGGTAGGGGGCCCCGAGGGACCCACTGCCCGCCCCTGCTCACCCCTCTGGCCTTGGGGTCATCAGCCGGGACCGGCCAGCCTGGGGCGGCGGGGCTGGGCCTGGGGGCCGAGGGGGGCCAGCCTGAGCCCGGGCGTCCGCAGTTCTTCCAGGTGCCCTACGCGGCGCTCACCATGCTCCTGACCCCCTGCCCGAGGGAGCGGGACTCGGCCACGGCGTACCGTGAGTGCGGGCGTGCGGTCGGGCGGGGACGCCGCGGCCCCTGGGCCGGCCAGCGCCCGTCACCCGGCGCCGCTCTGTCGCAGGGATGACCATGGAGATGGCGGGGACGCTGATGGGAGCCGCCGTCCACGGGCTCATCGTGGCGGGCGCCCACAGGCCGCACAGGTGCGAGGACGCGGCGCTCGCCGGGCCGCTCGCCGTCTCCCCCGACGCGGTGAGTGCCCCCGCGGAGAGGCGTCGCTCGCCTTCTCCCTCCCGCTCCTCCAGCCGGCATCAGCCTCTCCACCCGCTCCCCGCCCCGCGTCCTCCGTCCGGCCGACCCCGCTTCTCCGCCCGGGCGCCTTCTCAGCGGGAAGCAACAGATCGCAGAGCAGCAGGCGGGGAGAGGGGTGGGGTGGGGAAGGGCCACGGGCAGAGGCAGGGGCAGGGGCAGGGGAGAGGGTCTGGCGTCCCTGCGGCGCGCTGGGTAACGCCCCCCTCCGTGGCCCGTCGCACCCCGCCCTGAATAGGGGCCCTGCTCCCCAACCTCACCCCCGGTGTGCACGCACGAGGGAAACCTGGAAGCAGTCCCCCTTCCTCTCCCGGCAAACCACATCTCTCTTCAGCAGCTAAGGCACGTGCATCTCTGTTATCCGTCCAGTTCAGCTATTTTCCCCTTAAGCAAATGGTAGCACTGTCCGCCAGAACCCCAGGAGCCAACACTTACTCCTCCCTCTCCAGCCATTACCCCCACTCCAACCCATTACCAAAGCCGATGCCCGTGTTGGGCCCCAGATCTTCTGGACCTTGCATCCCCAACATCTCCCGGTCACCCCAGCACCGCATCAGCCCCCCCCCCACGGTACCCCAGCCTCCAGCCAGGCGGGGTGACCCTGTAAACGAGTTCCAACATGGCTGGCCCTCACCTTCAGGACCCAACCCAGGCTGTCCCTCCGCAGCTCCGGCGCGGGGCCTCTCCTCAGTGTTTTCTGCATCATTCTTCTTTGCTCATTTAAAAAATAGTTCAGATTTATAAAATATACAGCTGTGGTTCTCAAAGTGTGCTCCCTGGGCAACAGCTGCAGCAGAGCCGCATCACCCAGAAACTTAGCAAGGCCAACTCTTGGGCCCCACCCATAACTGGTGCTTTACAAATTTGGGGAGGGGGCCAGCAGTCTGTATTTGAACAAGCCCTCCAGGGGATTCTGCCCCCCCCCCCCCCCCCGCCCAGCGTTTGAGAATCGATGGTGTGAGACTAATACCACATCATGGCCCAGCACCCACACAGTGAAGTCCTGTGTATCCATCCGCAGACCCATCTGCAAGGCCAGCTACTAATACATCTGCAGACACATTCTGCCCATGTACGGTGCGAAATGAAAACACCAGGCTCTAGAGAGAGCAGGGAAGCCAGTCTGTCCTTCCCATGGCCCACTGCCCTAACCAAGGGATTCCTTGGGTCGAGGTGATTGAGTGGCCCCACCCAGGTGCCCTCAGACCCATCATGGCTGCCGGCCTAGGGCCAGAAGGTTGTGACCTTGCCCCTCCCAGATGGACTCTCCCATGTACGCCTAGGCCCCCATTCAGGTCTCCACAGGCCCTATCCCCAAAGGTCACTCTCTAGCTGGGGGTGACAGTGGTCTTGGGTTGGCCTGGCCTGGAGTGCAAAGGAATGGGCAGCAGGAGGCTGAGAACTCCACCCCTAGAGGTGGAGCCTCGTGTGGGCCAAGGCACAAAGCCTCAGGTAGCTCCTGCTGTGTTGTCCCATTGGCTTCACTTACAAAACACAGATTCATAGTTAAAATGATCAAACGTTTCAAGACAGTGAGAGCAGAGCATTAAGGCCTACCACAGCTCCCTCCTGAATGTGGGGTCCTGTGCAACTGTGCAGAGCCCACCCACGGGAGGAGGCCCTGTCCACCTCCTTCTTCCTTTCCCTCCCCAGAGACAGCCTCAGCCTGAGCAGGTGACTGTTACTCCCATGCATGTCTTTACATGGATTTGATTACTCAGATATCTTCCCCTGGACGACAGGTAGCTCCATTTCTCTTTTTGCCCTTTATCTGGGTCTTCGGGCCACCCACTGTGCTGTAGCTGTCTGCTCGTGAGTCTGTCTTCCACACTCGAAGCCCCTCATTGGGGATGGGCAGGAGGCACATATTCATCCCTGTAACCTCAGGGTCTAGACTGCAGAAGTGCCACCAATGAATGTTTGCCTTAAAAAAATGAGAAAGAGAGGAGGGGCTCTGACCTCTGGTGGCGTGGATGCCCTCCTATTCATGCAGGAGGCACAGGGGCAGCAGCAGGGCCGTTCTGGGCCCAGAGGTCTCCATCTCCTGCTCTGCTGATTGGGAGGAGAGGCACCCAGCATCCCTGGACTTGGGCTGAGGGTCCCTCTGCCCTACTGGGAAGTACTCCTGCCCTGGGTGCCCCCGCTTCCGTAGGTTGGAGACATCACCCCCACCCCAGTTCTGTCCTGTCCCACAGAATCGTCTCTACTCCATTGCAGCCGCCGTGCTTGCTCTGACCTACCCCGTGTGCACTGGTTTGCTCTGCCTCGGGGTGAAGGAGAGACCAGGTAAGGGGGTGCAGTCAGAGTGTGGGAAGCCAGAGCTGAGACAGGATTCCTCTTGGGCCTGGGTTTTGGTTTTGAACTCTGCCAAGCCCGAGTGTTACTTTCCCGTGTTGCAGACTCCTCTGCCCCAGCCTCAGGCCAAGGCCTGAGCTTCCTGGCTGGGCTGTGCCTCGCTGTCCGGCACCCGCCCTACCTAAAGCTGGGGATCTCCTTCCTGTTCATCTCAGCAGCCATTCAGGTACCTCTAGGCCTTGGCTCTGGCCATACTGACCCTGTGTAGGTTCAGGTTCCACCTCTCAGCTCCACCAACCAGAGTTAGGCTTAAGTATAGAGAAATGGTGGCTGGCACGGGTTCCAGAGAGTCTGGTGCAGGGAGGAGAGAGACCTAGTTAGAGCTTGTGGGACCAGGAAGGGTCAAGGCCTAGACACTAGGCAGCTGACAAAATCTGGGTAGTAAGGTCCACTAGCTGGGAAAGGGAGAGGATGGACTAGGAATAGCATTTATACCTGTTTTGGGGCTGAGTGTCCTTTGAGGGGGGAGGAGACTGCATGATGCATGATGCATGATGATGGCAGCAACTGGTGTTTGAGGTCCCAAAGAAGAGGCCAGGCGTGCAGTCTAGGCCTTGCCCTTGACTTCTGAGTTCCTGCCATTCCTGATACATGCCCACTTCCTGTTGGCCTCCTCAGGTGGAGCAGAGCTACCTGGTCCTGTTCTGTACACATGCGTCCCGGCTCCATGATCATGTCCAGAGCGTGGTGCTAACCATCCTGGTGAGTGGTCCTGGGGTGGCGGAGACAAGCTCCCTCAGCGACCTGAGTTGGGGACCTGTGTGGTTCTTGACAAGACATGTGTAGCCAGAATTCCGGTCAACATTCTGGACTCCTCTGTGATCTTAGTCACCTGCACTCCAGCAAAGGGTGGGATCGAGGCTGGGGTCATGAAGTTCATAGCCACTGGTTCCAGCCAGGGCGCAAAGTCAAGGTCGAGCATCCCACGTAAAAGCCAGGGCTTCTGGAACCTGGGTGGGTTAAGGCATTGGCAACGCAGCCCGGGCTGGGATGATTCTGTCTGTTCACAGGTCTCGGCTGTGCTGAGCACCCCGCTGTGGGAGTGGGTCCTACAACGATTTGGGAAGAAGACTTCAGCCTTCGGGATCTGTGTGAGTGAGGCAAGAAGCAAGGCCTGGGGGGAGGCTGCAGGGAAGGTGGCAGGGTCAGGGAGGTGGCCTTGGAGCCGGAGCCTCCTGAGGGCTGGCAGGACTGATCTGTACTTGCTTGTGTCTTCAGGCCCTAGCAAAGGACCAGGCGCAGGGGTTATAAGTAAAGACCGGTGAGTGTGGGGATGAACGAGCAAGTCAGGGGCAGGTGGAAGGATCAGCTGGCACATCTGTCTCCCCAGATGATGGTGCCTTTTGCAATCCTGTTGGCTGCTGTGCCCACCGCACCTGTGGCATATGTGGTGGCCTTTGTATCTGGCGTGAGCATTGCTGTGTCCTTGCTGCTACCCTGGTAGGTTGGGTGAGGGGAAGGGGTTGTGGAGCTTCATGTCCTTCCTAGTGGGTGTGCCCTCTTTCACATCCACCTGTTGCCCCAGGCCCCTTGTGCCCAGCCCGTGCTGGGGACGGGCTGTCGTACCTGCAGGAGATGGAGGCCACCAGCTCCGTCCTTGGAGCACTCCTGGAAGGGCACCACATGGCAGGAATGGTGGGCAGCTGTGTTGGGGAAAGGGGCTATCACCGGGCTCTCTGTGGGCCAGTCCTGGTCCTGGGCAGCAGGAACCCAAGGATGACTCTGACTTGCTCTCTGTCCCCGGAGAGCTCTCGGGCTGGTGGCTGTCAAGGGGATAAAAGGGATAATTCTGCAGCCCTCTCCCCCAGGTCCATGCTTCCAGATGTGGTGGATGCCTTCCAGCAGCAGCACCAGCATGGCCCAGGCCTAGAGACCATCTTCTACTCATCCTATGTCTTCTTCACCAAGCTTTCTGGCGCAGGCGCCCTGGGCATCTCCACTCTCAGTCTGGAGTGAGTCCCAGGGTTGGGCTGTTCTAGAGGAACGAGCAACGAGTAGGGTGGGAAGAAGAAGGCAGGGTCCCCCACCCTAGTGGCCAGGGGCCACCCGCTCGTCTGCTCTTCAGAGAGTGTAGGGCAACACCTGCGCCGGCTTTCTCCGCACACATGACAGAGAGGGGACTTTCTTGGGGGCTGTAACCCTCCTGAAGCCCCAGCTCCCCACATTCTCAGTTCCGTCAGAGCTCCCTGGCCAGCCCATTCCCTCAACTCTCTCTTCCACTATGGTTAAGCTGATCTGGCCGGGAAATGACGCCTACTTTCAGGGCAGTGTGGGGGTGGGGTATCGGGGACCCCTCCTGCCAGGCCCGCTGGGATCTCAGTTGGGTGCGTGGGATGCTCTTTCTCCAGGTTTGCGGGCTATGAGGCAGGAGCCTGCAAGCAGGCGGAGCCAGTGGTGGTGACCCTCAAGGTCCTCATCGGGGTCGTGCCCACCTGCATGATCCTCACTGGTCTATGCATCCTCATGGTTGGCCCCACTCCAAAGGTGCCCAGCCAGGACCCTTCCCGCCGGCAGAGTCTTCAGAGGTAGGCACCCCATGCACATGGGTACACACAGCAGGGTACCAACACCCAGGGACGCACAAACGTGCCCCGGTGTGAGACTGACTAACGGGTCCGCAGTTGTCCCTGAGGCATTTACGCAGTCAAACACTCCTGCCTCTGCAGACTCTTCCCGCAGGCTCATCACTCTTCGGTGATGCCATATGTTCCTGGGTTTTTTCCTTTTTTTAAAGATTTATTTAGTTATTTTTGAGAGAGAGTGAGCGAGAGCCTGAGTTGTGGGGGCGGGGAGCAGAGGGAGAGGAAGAGAAGCAGACTCCCCGCAGAGCACGGAACCCAACACGGGGCTTGATCTTATGACCCTGAGATCATGACCTGAGCCGAAACCAACTGAGCCACCTGGGTGCTCCTGGATTTTCGTTCTTTTTTTTAAGATTTTATTTATTTATTTGTCAGAGAGAGAGCACGCACAAGCAGGGGGAGTGGGAGAGGGAGAAGCAGACTCCGTGCTGAGCGGGGAGCCCGATGCGGGGCTCGATCCCAGGACCCTGGGATCATGACCTGAGCCGAAGGCAGACGCTTAACTGACTGAGCCACCCAGGCGCCCCCTCCTGGATTTTCTTCAGCTGCTCTGCACGTCCCTTCTTAGTCTCCCCCCTCTCGATTATCCGTTGGCTGTAGTATGGAAGGGCTCCCCCCTTGGCCCTGCTCCCTTTGCTCTCCATAATGCCAGGCGCCTCATCCACTTGCTTGATCTCGAGCCCCTCTTGTGCCTCGTGACTCCTAAAGCTGCCCCTACCCCCTGGACTTCCTTCAAGTTCCGGATCCACGTGTCTGGCTCTCATTGGCACGGCTCCACCCGATGTCCCACAAGCATGGAGTCACTTTCAAAGAGCCCTGAACTACTGAACTCATCTTCTTTCCCCGTGGGCCTCCTCCTCCTGTGATGGCGCCATCCTCCCGCCTGGGAGCCGAAAGCTGGGTCTTTTACTCTTTCCCCCACAGGCTGTGCCGAGCTGCGCCCTGAACCTTGTTCTCCCAGCACTGATCCTGCTGCACAGGGCTGAGAGGCCCGCCGGCTGGCTTGCCCAGGGGACTGTAGGGATCTTGGAGCTGGGGCTGGGTTTTATTCGTTTCTGCGTGCCCAGCCCAGCACAGAGGCCAAGGCCACGCTGGTGCCGCAGTGTCAGGACGTCTGGGCCAGCAGCTTTCACAAGCCCGTGGCCGCCTGTTTGGAGATGCTCACACACCCACCAATACCAGCGCACGTCCACACAGAGGAACACACGGGATTGGCAGGAAGTGACACTGTCATCGGCCCCTTGTTCTTGGTGTGGATGGCTCAAACTCTGGCCCAGGAACACTGAGGCCACACGCACACTCGGAGAGACACGCAGATAGGGAATTGCCGGATGGACTTGGCGAAAAACAGGGGCTGTAGCTTTATTCTAGGGGTCGGGGAGGGAGGAGCTGCTAGGGGGGTGGGGAGCGCCACTGTCACGTCCATAGGGGTCCGTGTTCTCACACAGTCCCCCTCTGCCCTCATCTGTCTCTTTGGTTTCTTTCTCTTTTACAGGAGGACCAGCTACAGCCTCGCTTGAGGGCTGACCTTGTGTGGGCTGGAACAGCAGGAGCCGGCGTCTTCAGGGCTCGCAGTCCCTCTTTCTTCTCAGTCCCTTAGCGCACCGACTTCGAAGGTTACACGTGACCTGTCTCTTCCCCTGGGATATGGAGTCTTCAGGCACACCTCCTGAAGGGATTGGCCTGGGCTCCAGGACCCTAGCCTGCCACTTCTTGCTTGTTGAGCACAGACCAGGTCAGATAGGCCTGTGCCCCGGACCACCCAGCTCCAGGTAACCTTGACCTGGAAAGCATCCCAAGAGCAACTATTCCTGGGAAAAGGAAGCCCCACAACTTGCTCACCCGACAGGACAGACGCACAGACCTCCTGTTCTTCCTGATGCTCCAGTGGACATCTGAGAGGCTGACAGACACCACATGAATGGGCAGAGTGGGGACAGATGGACATGTTAGGGATGACATCAGGAGAGACACAGAGAGAGGCACTGAGACCAACAGACCCCAGAGGGAGCAAATGGGGACAGCAGGTTGGGGGGAGACTGAGCTGGACATGAGAGGCATTTCTCAAGGCTTTAGGCAACAGTTTCTGGAATCAGACACAGACTGATATTGAGCTACCAAACATCAATCATTTTTAGGAACAAAAGTTTTTTTTGTGGAAATACTTTTCTGAAATTGTATCTTACAAAGGCACAGGGACCACAGTTTTCTAAAGGCTGTATCTTTGGGGAAGAAAGATCCACTGAGGTTTATTTTAAAAATATATATGTATATATATATATTAAAGGCTTTATCTTCCATTGAGTCTGTAAAATACGACTGTGGCCATCCCTCTCATCCCACCTCCTGGGTAACCACCACCCAAGAAGGGAAGGGGGAGGGTGCCTGATGTCACTGCCCCTGGCTACGTCTCCTTAGCCACACACCCCTGACCCTGCATTTCCTCAGACCAGAGATGGCCATGTGGGAGGTGGGTTCCTTCTTTCCTTTGGAAGAGATAAGAAGTGGAGACTCTAGAGTAGCCCAGGGCAGCAGGCTGTGTGGGCTGCAGGGGCGTTGGGGAACCCATGAGAGTCCTGATGCCCCATCAACTACCAGAGAAGCCAAGACACCTAAAGAGGTGACCAGGAGGTGCAGACTTGCCCTGCCTCTGTCCCCTCCATGGGGTCAGTTTTCCGGAGCCCCCACCCAGGGCTAGGCCCCCTTCCACTTCATTAGACCTTTGGCTGCCTCTTAGTTCCAGACTCGCACGTAAGACTGCCAGAGCTCAGACTCACACTCAGACAGGACATAACCCTCGAAGCATGAAACATCTTGCTTCCTCCATGAACACCATAGCCCCAAAAGGAACCTGACCTTAGAGTGAGAGTGCATGGTGTGACCTGGTCTAAATGATGCCTGAACTCTCCGCCCTTGTGCCACTGACATGGGTATCTGATCCTTGAGGTCATAGGGCATCAGGGAAAGAGCTGGGTCCACTTCTCTTCATCGCCCATCTGACTTAGGAACGGGCTGACAGGAAGCTCTGCTCACCCCTGGCTGTGCATGGCACACACGCACACGCACAACGGTTTCTCAGCAATGGAAAATCACTGGCTGTGGGGACACAGTACCTGCTAAGACAGGAGGCAACATAAGGTTTCTACCATGTTGCCATGCTGTGCTTTGGAAACATGGGCAGTGCAGGTAGGATCAGAAGCTTGTGCCAAATTTTATGTTACTCCCAGGAGTGCAGTCTCAAGGAGCCGAACTATACTATCCAAATACAGCTGCAGGGGGCCACCTCTGGGTTAGAGGGGTTAGATCTCAGAGACAGGAGGTGATGAGGGGCTGCCCAAAATGTATTATTCCATTTCTCCCTCACAGCAGCCCTATGAAGCAGGTACTATTATTTTCAGATGAGGCTGACAGAGATTAAGTAATTTGCCTAAGGTCGATTGGTGGCAGCAATGGCCTTGAACCTAAGTGGGCCTGACTCCAAAGCCTGTGGAGGTAGCTGGTATTGAACACATTTATTGGAGGAACAGCTGATGTACAGACTTTGGTGCCACCAGGACCGTTCCTCCTCTGAAACCAAATGCCAGCATCCCCTCCTCTGACCCTATGCTCTGATCCCATGGTATTATCCCCACTATTTGGGAATTATTATTGCCAATTCCATCCATCATTTCTTCTCTGGGTCCTTCGACTCACATTTGCCCATGGAGACTCCTGTCGTGTCCCCGACACGAAGAGGTTCCGACACCACCCTCTAGAGCCAGACCTCCTGTTTCAGAGAAAGAGGATGTCTCCTTGCCGCCAGGGCCCACCCCTGGGCCCATCCTTGACAAAGAGCAGGCATCTCCCTTGCCTCTTCCCTCTCTGCTACCTTTTGTTCCTTCCTTCCTTCGAGAAAGAGAGAGAGAGAGAGAGTGAAAGAATCCTAAGCAGGCTCCACGCCCTAGCCCAGTGCAGAGTCTGACGAGGGCTCGAACCCACAACCCTGAGATCACAACCTGAGCCGAAATCAAGAGTTGGACACTCAAACAAGTGAGCCACCCAGGCACCCCTACACCTCTCTTTCTAACCCTGAACTCTTTGCTGAACTTCAGAAGCCCATCTGAGTGTTCTTCAGGCAGTAAAACATCCTCTGTGTAAAGTGGAACTCAATACCTCCCCACATTTGTTCTGCTTCCTGCATTTTCTTTTTTTTTTTAAGATTTATTTATTTGAGAGAGAGAATGAGAGAGAGAGAGAGAGAGCACATGAGAGGGGAGAGTCAAAGGGAGAAGTAGGCTCCCCGCTGAGCGGGGAGCCCGACGCGGGACTCGATCCTGGGACTCCAGGATCATGACCTGAGCCGAAAGCAGTCGCTCAGCCATCTGAGCCACCCAGGCGCCGTCTGCCTCCTGCATTTTCAGTAAATTACGTCCGCATCTATCAGGTCACCAAAACCAAAAACTTGGTGTCTTCTTAGTTTTCTTTCTCCCCCACTCACTCTACCATGCCCTCCCCATGCACACCGAGTGTGGATTAAGCAACGGGAGGAAAGGGTTGCAGCTTATAGGTTATTATCAAATGGTAGAAGTTGGACAGAAAATTGTAGCCCCAGATACAGCTGGGAGTGTCTCCTAACCACATGGCCACTGACAGAGCTGCCTGCGGGGTGTCGGAGATGTGTCCGTATGTCCATTCGTGTGCTCCTGTAGGGCTCCGCTCAGCTGGGTACAGACTTCTGTGTTCACCTACTGTTTCTTCAGGACAAAACTGGTGCATCAGCAAGGAAAGTCATGTTACACTCTAATTGTTCCTTAATATAGTAACTGTGTTGGAGCAAATTTGTGTTTTTAAAACAAGCATTATAACAGAACTGAGTGTATATGTGTGTGAGTGTAAACAACAGAAATCCTAAATGATCTCATAAGCATTCAAGGAATGAAATAAATATTTTAAAGTATTCCCACAAAGAAAACACGAGATCGAAATGATATTACCAAGTGCTATCAAACTTTCATCAAGGATCATTTCATAGCTTATGAAAACCTTTCTAGGGAACAGAAAAAGGGCACACCCTGCAACTCATTTATATCAGGCCAGAATACATTTGATACCAAAACCAGACAAGCAAAGTGAAAGGAGAGGAAATTTACAGGCTAATCTTGAACACAGAACATGGAAGCAAGAATCCAAAACAAAATATTAGTAAACTGAGTCTGGCAATGTCTAAAAAATAAGCACATCATGAACACACTGGGTTTATTCTAAGAATGCCAAGTTTGTTTCACATGAGAAAAATCTGTCGAATGAAACTTGCCACATTAACAGATTAAAGGAGGAAAAAAATTGTGTTCTCAATGATACAGAATCATTTGATAAAATGCTAATACCATTTCATGATAAAAGTACTAAGCAAACCAAGAGGAAAAGGAAATTTTTAAACCTGAGAAAGGATATCTACCAAAAACCTATAGTGAACATCATTCTTAATGGTGATAGTCCCTTTAAAATCAGGAATAAGGATACCTACAATCACTGCTTCTAGTCAACACTTCATCAGCAGAGCTAGCTAGTGTAGTAATAGTATAATAATTAGAAAGGAAGAAACAAAATTGCCATTATTTGTAAATAATTTCTACACAGAAAACCCAAAAGAATCTACAAATAAATTATTAGAATAAGGGAGTATAGCCAGATAATTGGACATAAAATTAACAAAAAGAAATTACATTTGTATATGCCAGCAACAGTTATAAAACATAATTTTTAAACAGTAGCAACAAAAAATATAAAATACCTAGAAATAAATGAACAGGTTGTGGAAAGACTTTTGCTTTTGGCCATGATGGAATAGTAGAGACCAGACCTAGCCTCTCAGCTGAAGCAATAAAAAAGAAACGGAGAGAATATATGAAACAACAGTTTTCAAGATGCTGGGCATGAAGCAACAAAGGAGGAATCTCTGGAAGATGGGAAACAAATGAGGTGAAGCTTACGATTTACCCCAGCTTATTGCCTTGAGAGTTTCCAGATGATACTGAAGAGAACCATTTGGAGCCCAGAGGACTCTAAGCTGAGAAGATGAGTTTGGGGAGACCAAAGTGGCTAGAGTTTGCAGGACAGAATATTGAATGGGAGTGATCTACAGAGAGAAAACTCAGAGGGTTCCCCTCAAGTACCCAACAAAATGTTGATTAAAGAAATAAATGTGAGGGGCTCCTGGGTGGCTCAGTTGTTAAGTGTCTGTCTTCGGCTCGGGTCATCATCCCAGGGTCCTGGGATCGAGCCCCACGTCGGGCTCCCTGCTTGGCGGGAAGCCTGCTTCTCCCTCTCCCACTCCCTCTGCTTGTGTTCCCTCTCTTGCTGTGTCTCTCTCTGTCAAATAAATAAAATCCTAAAAAAAAAAAAAGAAAAAAGAAAGAAATGTGAAAGGCAAACCTTTCATAAAAGGAAAGATATATAAGTGTGACTTCCTTAAAATGAAGTTTGTTCAACAAACTGTTGTGTTCCCTCTCTTGCTGTGTCTCTCTCTGTCAAATAAATAAAATCTTAAAAAAAAAAAAGAAAAAAGAAAGAAATGTGAAAGGCAAACCTTTCATAAAAGTAAAGATAGATAAGTGTGACTTCCTTAAAATGAACAGTTTGTTCAACAAACTGTTGTGTTCCCTCTCTTGCTGTGTCTCTCTCTGTCAAATAAATAAAATCTTAAAAAAAAAAAGAAAAAAGAAAGAAATGTGAAAGGCAAACCTTTCATAAAAGGAAAGATAGATAAGTGTGACTTCCTTAAAATGAACAGTTTGTTCAACAAAACACACCGTAAAGAGAAAAGACAAGACACAAACTGGGTGAAGATATTAGCCACACATAGTAACAACATCTAGAATATAAAAAGAATCCCTACAACTCAAGAAGAAAAAGACAACCCGATAGAAACTGTGGCAAAAGAAACAAACAGGGGTTTTGCAAAAGAGAAAACTCAAATGGCCAATAAACAGATGAAAGATGCTCAATTTCATTGGTGGTCTGGAAGTAAAAATTAGGATCACAGTGAGAAACAATTTAAAACTACCCCATTGTCCTAAGTTAAGAAGCCTTGAACATGTAGAATAGGAGCTCTGATACATCGCTGCTGGGAGTGAAGACTGATGTGACCACCTGGGAAAATAATTTGAATTTACACATCCTTTGTGCTCCAGCAATTCCATATCTATGTCAAAGACCCCAGAGAGTGGGCATAGGTGGCTCAGTCAGTTAAGCATCTGACTCTTGATTTTGGCTCAGGTCAGGATCTCACAGTTGTGAGACTGAGTTCCTCCCTGCATGGGGCTCCGCACTCAGCATGGAGCCTGCTTGAGATTCTCTCCCTCCCTCTGCAACCTCCCTTGCTCACACGGGGCTCCCTTACTCTCAAAATAAATAAAATCTTAAAAAAAAAAAAAAAGACCCTAATGAGACTTCACAAATACTTGCATCAGGACATACTTAACAAGAATATTCAAGGCAATATTGTTTATAATTGCAAAAATAAAACCAGGGACCGGTGCAAATGTGCAGAGCAGGAAATATTATGGTAACTCAAAACAGTGAAAATAATAGAACAAGCACCTAACAAGCATGGATTCTTAGAAATAATAGTGAGTGAAAAACATTAAGCTGCAGAGGACTATATACAATATAACACCATTGTATAAAGCTCAAAAACAAGGGGAAATAAACACTATGTTGTTTAGGCCAATGTGTATAGGTGGTTGTGGTAAAAAAAGAAAGGAATGAATGATCATTACAACAATCAAGAGATCAGTTACCTCTGGGGTGCAGTTATCTCTATAGAGAAGGATCCAGAATGGTTTCTAGTAACGTTCTGATTCTTAAGTTAGGTGGTCGGTGGCTCATTTTATTATTAAGCCTTCCTGGGGCACCTGGGTGGCTCAGTTGGTTAAGCGGCTGCCTTCAGCTCAGGTCATGATCCTGGGGTCCTGGGATTGAGCGCTGTGTCCAGCTCCCTGCTCAGCAGAGAGCCTGCTTCTCCCTCTCCCTCCGCTACTCCCCCTGCTTGTGCTCTCTCTCTAATAAATAAAAAAAATTTTTTTAATTAAGCCTTCCTATGCTTTATATGTATTGTCTGTATCAAATAATAAATACCCATATGAAATTTAGAAAAATTTGGGCACCAAATGGGATTTGTAAAGAACGTCTTTCCTTATGCAAAATATTCTCATCAGAACATTAAACAATAATTAAAAGATTATAGCTCTTCTGTCCCTGTATCCAAAGCCAGCAAATACTGCATTAACTTCTATTGCTCCAATGACTATAATAATAGCAGGGGCCAAGGAAACGTTCTTTCGTAGGAGAGTTGTCATGGAATCAGATTTGTTGTAAAGAAATACATAATTTATGTGCCAGACCGCCCACCAGAAGAAATACAATGTCCACAAACATAAAATCAAGAACTTCTCTTTATACCAGCAAAAATCACAGAGAAAATACCATCAAAACATTCACAACAGCCACAACAAGCTTTAGGGACTTCATGGACTCATTCACAGGACTCTGACCAGGGAAACGGTGGTTACAACCTGTACCTTGACGCACCTGCCCTGATCTTACTACAGGGTCCCCAGGCCCCTCAGGCTTCCTAATAGTGTGCTTTCATCCTGCCCAGACGCTTCCTCTGCAAATGGAGCCAGGCCCCAGGCTGTCCTCGGCGATGGCTCTCAGGCACCTGATGACAGACCAGAGGCCTCCACTTCCATTATTCCAGCATCCGCCTAATGCATTTGAACCACAAAATGGGCCTTCGCCTCTTTCCTATCCCAGCTCCATCTTCATAAACGGTAACAGAGAGACAGGAGTCCCCAAGGGCACGAAACCTTTCCTTCCAGATAATTTTCAAGGAAAGGGGGGAAAAGATGCATATGTGCTAATGGAACCTCTCTGGCTGAAACAATTTATCTGCAGATGTGCCCTGACCAGCCACACACTCATCAATTTGTCAGGCTGCCGTCACTGAAATTTATGATCCTGTTTGAGAAGTGGTGTGTCCATCTGAAGTTGCATTCAGGGCTCTTTCCACTTTACTAAGTTGGTACTTCAGCCCGTAATTTAATAAGCTGGTACTTTTTACCTACCTCAGATTCAGTGAAATCTCCAATTTTCTGAACTACTTTCTCTCAGAGACTCTTTGCTGGTCTCTAAGACTTGAATGGAGGGAAAAGAGAAACATCAAAATGAAAGTGACAATTCAACTAAGGGAGCTGACTACTGGGAGAAAAATAGGACATTTTTATGATCCCAAAACTGGAAAAAGAAAAAAAGAAAAAAGGCATTTCAGGGAGAAAATCAGGAGTAGCCACAGCACACAATCATGCCTTAGACATCACCTGGGCTTGGCATCGCACTATTAACATAAGCACATGCTCCAGTGGGGTCCAGAGGGGTCAAAGCACTTGACATTTGCTATTTGCCCAGGGCTAGTTTTTCGGACCTTAGTTGGCCAGAATTTTTTAAGGAAGCAAGAGAGTTAGGTTTAAATCCTGGCAGGTCCAGCCAACATCAGAACTACTTCCTGTTCTACCCTGGGGACAGAAATCAATCGATTTTTTGTCTTCTTTTGAGCTTTGCTGATTCCTGCTGGTTTGGGGTAAGAAGGATATGTCGGAGCATATGTTCTCCAGTACCTCTTACTCTCATCTCTAAGCCAAGGAAATGGTCTATAACAATGCTGAAGTACCTTTTAAGTGCTTCTAAGACAGCTTTAACAGTTTGGGGTAAGGGACAGAAAGCCTCAGAGAAACCATAAAACACAATCCATATGGCACCAGAATACTGTTTTGTTCTGGCAATTCTGCCATTAGACAAAACCACAGTCATGAATATGTAAACAACCACTTTTTGAGCCATCTAACAAAGACTGAGCTCTGCCAGAGAGCAGGGGGCTGCAGCCCAGGGCGGCAAGGGGTGGGGTGGGGTGGGGAGGGGGACAAGGAGGAAAAGCGGCCAAGCCAACCACAGCAGGTGCTTCACCTCTGAGCGACTGTGCAAACCCCAGCTGAGGAGAGTCCACGGCGGAAAAGAGATATTGTCTGAATGGCCTCATCTGAAAGGGTATCAGGCCATACTGCCTAAATGGATAGATCAGCCGGTGGCGTCTACGCTCTCGACAGTCAGGTCTCTCAAGACTTCAAGAGAAGGAGCAGGATTAAGACTCTGAAACAGAGTCCGTGAAGACATTTGCGCTGCCATCTCTGATGGTTATTTCCTGGGTGGCCGTGAATGTTAATGGGATGAAACCTTCGCTATCAGCACAGAGAAGGATCCAGTGGGAGTCTGCAAAGTGAAATAAACACATAGGAAATTTAGGATATCTCATCTTATTCTATGAAGAAAAAGAAGATAAATATTTTTTTTGAGGGTAAGAATAGAGTAGTTGATAATATTGAACTGATCATTGTAAGACCGTGCAGACAATTGGGGAGACGGAAGGACTGAGTACTACTGAGGGTGACATTATATGGCAGGAGCGGGTATTGACGGCATTGATGACGTAGACATAGCTAGGGGACATCCATCTTTACCCAGGCGGGGCACTTATCACTTAGTGCTATGCATATGATTGTGTATATAGTGCACATGTGTTAGGGGTTGCGTATGGAGTGTCCCTATCTACTCACTCTTAAGCAGTTTCTCCAGAAACTATGTGAAGGTGGGAACAGCTGCTCTCTGGAGGAAGCTTTACTCTTTAGATCATTACCAACCTCTAGACACCTAAGGACGCTTAGCTGACTACTGCTAGACTAGAATGGTTTGTTCTGCAGTAACCCAGGGCCAGTGGCCTTAACACATGCCTGGACCTTCTCTGGTTCTTTCAAATCTACTGTGCCTCACCTTTGACCCTATAATTTCACTTCTGAAAAATCTATACTTTCCAGGAACAACATGTAAAATATGCAGAGAGGTTTTTATCAGTGCTGTGTATGCTGCTGAAACTGGAAACCACTGGAAGGTCAAAGAAAATATGGTGAAGTAAAATATGGTACATCCGGAATGGAATAGTAACTCCACCCAGGACAGATGACAATTATGAAATCATATCACAAATGCATGTGTCAAAACAAGAAAATGCTGGTGCTAGAAACAGATTTCATGTTCAACATGGTGGCTACCATTAGAAGAATGAGGCATAAAAAACCCACCATGCTGTGCATTTGAAGAGCGGGCACAGCTCAGTTTGCTGGCATTTAGGGATACCCTTCTCATCCCATGTTTGCTGCATATTAAAATGACCAACTCCTTTAAAAAATATTCTGCAATGCTGCTATGATCTTTATGTTTAGTGCAACAGGTATTTATGAGGTTTTAATGTCATTCCTTTGCAGCTGTTATATATTGCTTTGTAACTCTTCCAGTTTTTTCCTGTGTACATTTAGGTCTTCCAGCTAGGGTGTAAGTTCCTCAAGGGCAGAACCCGTATCTCCCATGTGTTTCGGTACCTATGATAGACTTGTGTATACAGTAGGCAATAAACAATTCTTGTTAACTTTCTCGTGAATCACTGAATGGTTTGTATACTTCACCTTTATTATCAATGAAAGTTACAAAATAGATGGTAGAAGGAGGGAGTGTGGGGTAGAACCAATTTCTTGAATTCTACCTACCGTGGAGCATTTCGACAAGAGAGAGGCCAAAAGTCTGCTGGACTGTACTGAGCCTTAGTTTGCCATTGCAGAGGAGTATGGCTCTTTTTTCAACAACAGGACCTACATAATAAGATTTCTTCAAATATAAAAATAAAAGTTGTTAAACTGATTGCAGAAGCAACAGAGTTAACATTTCTTAAGAACAGAATGTGTTAGTAGTTTTTTAGAATCCTATTTACTATCATTATAACTAATCCAGCTGTGGGGTGCCTGGGTGGCTCGGTCAGTTGGGCATCTGCCTTCGGCTCAGGTTGTGATCCCAGGGTCCTGGGACCGAGCTCCACATGGGCTCCTTGCTCAATGGGGAGTCTGCTTCTCCCTCTCCCTCTGCTCCTGGCCCCGCTAGTGCTCTCTCTCTCTCAAATAAATAAATAAAATTTTTAAAAGGAAAAAAAAAACTAGACCAGTTGTAAATAAGGGGCTTTTGGCTACATTATTTAACACAACAAAAGGATTAGATCTCAAAATATTTATGGGTTAAATACCATGACATTCCTACTTAAAATATTTTAGGAATTAAAAAAAAAAGAAGCAATTATGGCAAAATGTTAATAACTATTAAATCCAGATGACAGATATTAAAAGGATTTCATTATGTAGTCTTTATGTTTACAATTTTTCATAATAAAGAATATATGTTTGAGGGCACCTGGGTGGCTCAGTTGGTTAAGCGACTGCCTTCGGCTCAGGTCATGATCCTGGAGTCCCGGGATCGAGTCCCACGTCGGGTTTCCTGCTCAGCAGGGAGTCTGCTTCTCCCTCTGATCCTCTTCCCTCTCATGCTTTCTATCTCTCATTCTCTCTCTCTCTCAAATAAGTAAATAAAATCTTTAAAAAAAAAAAAAAAGAATATATGTTTGAAATTTTTCACAATAAAAAAATTTTAATTCAGTTTTAAACTATTCTTTGGTTCATTTAAAAACCTACATCCTGGCCATCTTGGAGTCTGTGGAGGCCTGCTGGGAACAGGACTCCTATAAGGCCAAATAATGTCTGGAAGGCTGTGGTCCAAGGCCATTTTTGCTGGCTATAAGCGGGGTCTCCGGAACCAAAGGGAGCATACAGCTCTTCTTAAAATCGAAGGTGTTTATGCTCGAGATGAAACGGAATTCTATCTAGGCAAGAGATGTGCTTATGTGTACAAAGCAAAGAGCAACACAGTGACTCCTGGTGGCAAACCAAACAAAACCAGAGTAATCTGGGGAAAAGTAACTCGTGCTCATGGAAACAGTGGCATGGTTCGTGCCAAATTCCGAAGCAACCTTCCTGCTAAAGCCATTGGCCACAGAATCCGTGTGATGCTGTACCCCTCAGGATTTAAATTTAATGAAAAGTAAATAAAGGTGTAGATTTGTTCTCTTGTAAAACAAAACAAAACAAAACCTGACATCCTGAGTTGGTCAAACAGTAGTATTTGATTTATGTTTAAGGATTTTTTAAAGATTTATGTTTTTTTTAGAGATTTTTTAAAGATTTTTTAAAGATTTTATGTTTATTTATTTGAGAGGGAGAGAGAGAGAGAGAGAAAGCAAGGAAGAACACAAGAGCAGGGGGAGGGAGAAGCAGATCCCCTGATGAGCAGGGAGCCAGGTGCAGGGCTTGATCCCAGGACCCCGGGATCATGACCTGAGCCAAAGGCAGCCGCTAAAACTGACTGAGCCACCCAGGTACCCCCAAACAGTAGTAGTTTTAAGAAAAAACTAATTAAAATATCTCTTCTTGACCATATTAAATAATAATTTATATATTATTTATCAATGATTTCTCTTTTTTTATATTTTATTTATTTATTTGACAGAGAGAGAGAACAAACAGGCAGAGCGGCAGGCAGAGGGAGAGGGAGAAGCAGGCTCCCCACTGAGCAGGGAGCCCGCTGTGGGATTCAATCCCAGGACTCTGGGATCATGACCTGAGCCGAAGGCTTAACCGAATGAGCCACCCAGGCGCCCCTTATCAATGATTTCGATGCTAACTTTCTGCAAATATCTTTTAAATTGAAGATATAGAAGTCCACAGTAATAAAATTAGTGTGATATTGATAAAGTTCTAGATAAAGAGATCAGCATTCTAGTAGTCACAGTATGGAGAATCCAGAATTAGATCCCAGTATATATAAGTTTATAGATGACAAATGTGGTAGATCAAGTTCAGTGGGATTAAAGATGGATTTTTTTTTTTTTTAAGTAAGCTCTATGCCCAATGGGGGGCTTGAACTCAAGACCCTGAGTGTACCATACACCAAAATTTAATGAAAGATTACACGTTTAAAGTGTAAAAACTAATGGAATAAAATAATGCAAGAGAATCTAGACTATTACATGTATATTAATTTTTTTTAAAGATTTTATTTATTTATTTGACAGAGAGAGAGACAGGGAGAGAGGGAACACAAGCAGGGGGGAGTGTGAGAGGGAGAAGCAGGCTTCCTGCTGAGCAGGGTGCCTGATGTGGGGCTCGATCCCAGGACCCTGAGATCATGACCTGAGCCGAAGGCAGACGCTCAACTACTGAGCCACCCAGATGCCCCTATTTACTTCTATAATATACAAAAACCTCTTATAAACTGATAACTCAATAGGAAAAAAATGAGCAATAGGCAATTCATATTCAATTGACCAAAAACCATGAAGACATACTCAAATTCACTAATAGTAAAGGAAATACAAAAGAATAAAAGTGAAAAGCATTTCACACTTATCAGACTGGTGGGGCTGTGAGGAAAAGACAGTCTCATAGGTTGAGAAGGGGTATGTGATGATGCATTAAGTAAAAAATCTTTGGGAGGCAATCTGGCAACTCTGTGAAAAGTAGAAACATATATGTCTATATATACTCTTCAAATTAGCACTTCCACTTCTGGGAACGAACCCAACAGAAATAAAAGTAGGAATACAAACAGCTACACATAGGGTACCATACCACTACAGCAGGACTGGGAGTGACTGAAGAGAGTTGAAGAGCTAAAGGCAACGTGCATGTCCACCAGAGGCCCAGCTACATAAACGGTGTGCTCTCAGCACAGAGAGTGCACCCTATGACCCCATTTTTGTAAAACAATGACACACTACCACCCCCGCATCTACAGACCTATGTATACAAAGAAGTGTGTAAGATTATAGGAGAATGAACTAAAATAATGGAGGGAGCCACGGTAAGCCGTGAATTAAAGTGAGTTATGGCGGGGGGCAGGGCCACATTCAATGGGGAATGAAAATGTTCATGATAAAAACAGATCAGCTATGATCCCATTCATGTAATATGATATATTTGCACACGCATTAAATCTTTCTAAATCGACCTAACCTTTCTCTCTGCAATGCATAGGGAAAAGTTTCCCACAGTGAAATAGCACAATAAGAATTCTTTTTTTTTCTTTTAGATATAAATTGCCAGGATGAGTACAATCATTCATATTTTACACCATGCAGGTGACACAATCCCAGCGTACGCTGGTATGCGTGCCCATCTGGCCAGCAGCCAACCTAGAGAGGTAGAACAACTTGCCTGTAACGTAACACGCCCAGCTCATGAAGTTCAGCTACAACACCATCTTGCTCATCAATGAGTTTTTCTTGTCAGTACCCACTGGCTGCAGGAGCTTTCACGTATAGGGGCAGCTCCTCAAAGAAGTTACCTGATAAGCGACGTGCACATAGGGCGGGTCCTGAGAGAGTGGATACCCAGGAGAGGACTTCTCCTTTTGTAGAACGTCTGTGAGTTCAGAGAGACGTTGCTGCACTTCAGTCAGGGTCCTAGATAAAATTTCCATTTCCTTAGACAGCCGGGAAATTTCCTTTTCCCTTTGTAAGTTCTTGCTTGGAGGCCAATCAGGAGGTTCGGGAGTTAGGGTGTGGTGGGGTGTGCTGCTGGATCTGGGCAGCGTTACCGAGCGGTTAACAGGCTCACCATCTAGAGCGTCAAGGGCGATGGGGCCGTCACAGACACTGGTGGGAGGACTTTTGATTTCTTTAATAAGGGTTTTTCCAGGCCTCCCGCTTTGCCCACTGCCGTTAGCTGTTAAGAGCCCTCTGTTTGGGTGACAAAAGTCTGGGGAAAGACTTTCAATTAGCTTTTTTCTATCTGTTTTATTTAATAGAATACTGAGAGTAGAGACTCCACTCTGGTTTTCACTTGCTGTTACTGGAGATTCTTCTTCCAATGTTACTTCTCTAACAATCAAACGAATGATATACTGATCAGTCTTCGAAGAAGGAAGAAATGCTGAATCAGTGGATTTTTGTCTTCCTACCAAAATCAATAATAACTTATCTGTCAAGAAGCATATGCCTTTTGGCTTTTCACTTCTCTCTAACTGAATCTGCCGGATATTTGGCACACATGATGGAATGACAGAATAGATAAAAATGACATGGTACGTATTGGAAGCCACCGCCACCACCTGTGCTTTAGGATTTAATGCTATTAGATCGGGAGCCAGAATCCCGGGAATGGTGACTTTTCTGGTCTGGGTGACCTCTTTCTCAAAGGTCACAAGGACCAAATGTGAAGAATCCAGGCCGGTTCCTGTCAAGTAGTCCTTTTTTTTTAGACAAATAAGAGAACTACCCTCCGATTTGGCGGTACTGGAATGTATATGAGTTAGATCCAGAGGATCTGAAAAGGAAGAAGAAATGGGAGAAACTGAGGTTTCAAAGTGTGTTTCAGAAGCAACCACCCCCTGATCCCCGGTGGGTCCTTCATCAGTAACCAGCGAGGCACACAGACGAGTGTCTTCCCCACCAGGAGGAACATCAAAAGTTTCGGATGCATTTAAGCCACAAATCTTATCTAGTGGAAGCTCAGTCGCTACAGCGACCTGTGAGTCTGCGGTGGCTCCGATGGAGCGCACGTAGCTGTCCACAGCAAACACTGGGTAGAAGGAGCACCTGAGAAGAGTCTTCTGAGCACTGTCCCAAATATAGGAATGCAGGCTGCTGCCAACTGCCACCACCAGCCGCTGGCCATCCCGGGTCCAACAGGCACAGTGAATGAGGCCCCTGGTGTTGACGTCTGCTTTCACCTGGGGACTGTCACCGTAGACGCTTGGGAGGACGGACACATCCTGTGCCGTCAACACAGCCAGGACAGGACTCTTTGGATGCCACACACAGCCCTGGGGAAGGACAGGAAGTGATTCTCTAATCTCACAGGTCTGCGACATCAGCCATCTGCTTGTCTCCGTAGTGCTGGGACACAGCTGCCACAAGGCAACATGCTTCTTGTGCTGGACGGCAAGCAGAGCGGGCACGTCAGCCACAGCGGGGGGGGCCCAGGACACTCCATACACATGTTCAAACTGTCCAATGACCTTGGAGTCCCCAAACCTGGCCTCTCCACTGTGAAGCTGTAAATCAGTCAGGACTACCTGACGCCCATCAGTCCAGACAAGGCCATGAACTGGGTGTATTGCCTGATACAACGCATTCAGCCCCGTCCTGAGAAGTCTTCCTTTTCCTAACTCCATCCTTTTGGATACAGGTTGTCTGAAATCAGTAAAAAGGAAAGATTTACCAGGAGAATATAATCAGGCAAATCCAAAATGTAGGACATTTTACAAGACAATTGGCTTAGGCTTTTCACAGGTCAATATTTTCAAGGGGATACAAGGACGAAGGAATGTGACAGATTAAAGACACTACTGAGCCATAACAAGCAAATGCAATATATAAACTTTGGCTCTTGAATTGAGGAAATAAATTTTTTTTTGAAGATTTTATTTATTTATTTGTCAGAGAGAGCGAGCGAGCACAAGCAAGGGGAGTGGCAGGCAGAGGGAGAAGCAGGCTCCTGCTGAGCAAGAAGCCCGAGGCGGGACTCCATCCCAGGACCCTGGGATCATGACCTGAGCCGAGGGCAGACGCTTAACCGACTGAGCTACCCAGGCATCCCAAGGAAATAAAAGTTTCTATTTAAAAAAAAAAAAAAGATATTTTTAGAATTGGAGAAATTTGAATATGCAACGGATATTAGAAGATATTGTGGAGTTATTCATTTTCTTTTTCTTTTTTTATTTATTTTTATTTATTTTTTTAAGATTTTCTTTATTTATTTCACAGAGAGACAGCAAGAGAGGGAACACAAGCAGGGGGAGGGGGAGAGGGAGAAGCAGGCTTCCTGCGCAGCAGGGAGCCCGATGCGGGCCTCGATCCCAGGACCCTGGGATCATGACCTGAGCCAAAGGCAGACAATGACTGAGCCACCCAGGCGCCCCTTTTTTTTTTTTTAAAGATTTTATTTATTTATTTGAGAGAGAGAGAATGAGAAATAGAGAGCACTAGAGGGAAGAGGGTCAGAGGGAGAAGCAGACTCCCCGCTGAGCAGGAAGCCCGATGCGGGACTCGATCCTGGGACTCCAGGATCATGACCTGAGCCAAAGGCAGTCGCCCAACCAACTGAGCACCCAGGTGCCCTGGAGTTATTCATTTTCTTAAGAGTGAACATGGTATTGTGGTTATGTAGGAGAATGTCCTTACCATTAAAATATGACACTGAAGTATTTGGGGTAAAGTGTCATGAGGCCTACAGTTTGCTTTCAAACGGTTTAGCAAAAAACAAAACCACAAAACCCCATACATTTGATATAGAAATGCAGAGAGATCAAACAGATGTAGCAAAATGTTAATAATTCTTGAATATAGATTGAGGCTATATTGGGTATGGTACTTTCAACTTAAAAAAGTTTTCAAATTAGGGGCGCCTGGGTGGCTCAGTCGTTAAGCATCTGCCTTCGGCTCAGGTCATGATCCCGGGGTCCTGGGATCGAGCCCCGCCATCAGGCTCCCTGCTACATGGGGAACCTAATTCTCCCTCTCCCACTCCCCCTGCTTATGTTCCCTCTCTTGCTGTGTCTCTCTCTGGCAAATAAATAAAATCTTTAAAGAAAAAAAGTGTTCAAATTAAAAAACTGAGGGGTGCCTGGGTGGTTTAGTCAGTTGAGCGTTCAAATCTTGATTTTGGCTCAGGTCATGGTCTCGGCGTCGTGAGATGGAGCCCCGCGTTGTTGGGCTCTGGGCTCAGCAGGGAGTCTGAGGATTCTCTCTCTCTCCCTTTCCTTCTGCCTCTCCCACCACTCACATTTTCTTTCTCTCTCTCTAAAAAAAAAAACAAACAAAAAACTGAGAAAGACTTCTTTCACCATCTAATTTCTATTCTTTCACTGCCAAACTGCATTAATTGATATTCACATCCCTGACTTTATTAGCACTTATTTCCTCAACTCCCTTCAAGATGGTTTTTACCTCCACAGTAAAATGACAATGAACAAAGTCACTGTTGTCCTTCCTACTTCCTCATGTTCAAATAGCACTTAATAATTTTCAGACCATTTTCACATTCCCTATCATTTGCTCCTTGCAACAATATTTCACAATAATGGAAAGTTAGGAAAGTATTATCTTGCATTTCTCATTAAGTTTTTTCCAGGCATTTCAATTACTAAAGTAGTATATGCTCACTGCAATGAAATTCAGACAAACCAGAAGTGTCTAAAATAAAATGAAACGTTTCTTCCTCTCCTATGCCAACACCTCCCCTCCCCAATCTCAAATCCTTGATAAAAACACTGTTAACGATTTGGTGTGTAGCCTTTGAAACCATTAAAGAAACCTACCAAAATAATAATAATAATAAAAATAAAATAAAAAGAATTTTGTTATGTGCTAAGTTTTATTCCTTTTATTTATTTTAAATCTTATTTTTAAAGATTTTTTTACTTATTCATTTGAGAGAGACAGAGTGAGCAAGAGCATGAGCAGGGGGGAGGGTCAGAGGGAGAAGCAAACGCCCCCACTGAGCAGGGTACCCGATGCAGGGGTAGATCCCAGGACCTGATCATAACCCAAGCTGAAGGCAGATGCCCACCCGACTGAGCCAACCAGGTGCCCCAGTTTGTTTTTCTTTTAAACAAAAAGTGGGGGTATAAGTCAAAGTTCCTGGGTACTAACAACAGAAACCACTCTGGCTAATTTAAGCAAAAAAAGAAGGCTCAAGAACCAGGCTCTGAAAACAAGCAGGAACCAAGTGGGGCTAGGCAGAATAAACCATGGCCATCACTCTCTCCCCCACACATTAGCGCCTGAGAATCTAACTTCACTGCCCCTTCTTTGATGGCAATTGCTTAAGATGACAAATAGGGGTCCAGGGGGAAACCTCCCCACTGGCTAAGCCTAGCTTCCATGCCCTGCTCTAGCTGCCAGGATGGAGAGAGGGTTTCCCCACAAAGGCTTCTGTGACAGGGTGATGCGGCTCTGCCTCCCACCAAGACTCACACAAAGGGCAGTTGCCCCCAAATTAGGGAAGGGGTTTTCAAAAAATGACAATTACCACAAGGATCATATGTTACATATTATTCACTAATTTATTTTAAATCATGGGTACCTTTCCAAGTCAATAAAAATAGAGCTCCCTCAATCTTTTAAGTAGCTGCAAGGCATGCCATATTGTATCCAATGATTCCCCTGTAGGTGGGAATTCAGCTTTTCAATTCTTATTTTGATGTGGATAGAGTCCAAAAGTTTGGTACTCAGTTCTCACCACTGTTTTCCCTCTTCCTTCCTTCCAATGTCACCTACTCTTGTGTTTTTATCATCTGTTTATTACTGTCAGGCCTCCATCTCTTCTCCTGGCTTCCTTGCTGAGCTGCAGTGCTATTCGTCTGTTAGGCTTCACATTATGGCTGATATTAGCCCTGACCACACTCATTTCAAACCAGATGTGCATACAAGAAAAAAAAAAATGGTGTTTTTGCTCTCAACAGCAGCTCCTTAATGGATATCACCATTCTCATATTCATTCAGGCTAAAAACTCGGGACTCCATTTGACTGTTCTCCTGTACTCTCAGTCGTCAAATCTTATTAATTCTTAGAACTGTTTCTGAATCCAGTCCTTGTCATTCCCACCAGCACTATTCTGAATCACTGGCACCTCTAACCTAGATGACTGCAATAATCTCCTATTTGGTTTCCCCACCTCTGGCTTTCTTCAGTCCATCTTGTGCAAAACCAATCTTAAAATGTCCTTTTAAGTATATCATTTATCAGCTTAAAAATGGGCAGATATTAAAAAAAAAACTGGCAGACGTTACCTACTGCCTAGAGCTGCACTGTTCAATACAGTAGCTACGAACCGTGTGTTTTGTAAATTTAATTAAAATTTTAAAAAATCCAGTTGCTCAGTCACACTAGCCCTTTTTAAAGTGGTCCACAGTTACATGTGGCTAGTGGCTCTCATATTGTACAGGGCAGAACAGAACATTTCCATCAGTGAGGAAAATTCTGCTGGACAGCACTGGCCTATAGGATAAAGTCTGAATTCCTCAGTTGGGCATTCAAACCCCTGCCCAGTGTGGACCTACCTATCTGTCCAGTCTTACTTCTGTTTATTCATCTTCACAAGTTACAGTGGCTGGCCCATTCAAAAACACATAATAAATGACAGGTGAAGTGAAGGCCCAGCTTAAATACCATCTCCTCCAAGAGGTCTTCCTTAATCATCCTGCTAAAGCTGATACTTTCCTCCTCTTAACGCCTATAGCCCTTATAGTCTAAAGCACTCGTGTGACATCCTCAATTTATTACCTGCAATTACCAGTCCCTCTTTCATGCGTCACCTCAAATTTCACAACTCACACACAAAGTCCTTGAGAGTAGAAACCAGACTTAACTTCTTTGCCTGTCAGTTCCTAGCACATTTCATTAAGTGCTGGCAAGTACTTTCAGATGGATTGCTCTGTATCCATTATATCCTAAAAGGAGTTTCCAATTGGGTCATGGTATTGCCAGGGGTTGTGTTGTGATCACATTTTTGTTTGTTGCTTCAGGCTCTTATGATACTGTCAGTAAACCTCTTTGAACTGTATTTGGACATTCTTTCTAAGTCTGTTAAATAATCCAGGCTCTTCAATAACAACTAAAACGATGGGGGATATATATTAAAGAGATATTTCCCTCCCCTACAGGGCCATATAGTCCTAATGCAGCCATACAATAGCATTGCTCATTTTTTGTAATTTAAAAAAAAGAATGGTTAAGCAACCATACATATTAGCACAAGTTCCCAGATCTTAAAGAACTCATAGTCCCAGTTCTTAAAGAACTCATACTGTCATTTAAGTCATGAGGACAATCAAATATATTTATATAATTTTTTTAAGGTTTTATTTATTTATTTGACACAGAGAGACACAGCGAGAGAGAGAACACAAGCAGGGGGAGTGGGAGGGAGAAGCAGGCTTCCCACTGAGCAGGGAGCCTGATGTGGGGCTCGATCCCAGGACCCTGGGATCATGACCTGAGCCGAAGACAGACACTTAACGACTGAGCCACCCAGACGCCCCTTTATGATATAATTTTAACATTCTATAAAACTAATGTAGGATTTTGCAACAATCAAATGTTTCCTTCCTGGGGTAGTTCCAGGGGGGGAGAAACATCTTTATTTCTGGTGATTATTATAATGTAGAGTCT